CGCTGCGGCTGTCTCTGACAGGGTCTCTGACAGTGTCCCTGACGGCGGAGGGCCCAACGGTCCGCGGACTTGTGACATGTCACTGAGTGGGGCGATCTTCTTTTTTCTCCTTTTTTGCGCGCTGTCCGCTGCGGCGTCCCCAGACGGCCGGCCGGGCCAGATGGCCACCATCGGCCCGGAAAAACGGGGGAAAACGGGGAAACGCGGCGCTAAGTGAAGGCGACAGCGAGAGATGAAAAGTCCAGCGGCGCGACGACAAGTGAAACCCGATCGTTCTTCCACGCAGAGTGGGGCAGAAGACCGGTGGAGGCGGCCAAAACTTCAAAAGCGTTTTGAGCTCCAGAGTCGCTGAACAGGACTCGAACCAAGCGTGTGACCCTACCAATGGATTCGTCGTTCGGTCCATTGGTGGGGTCACACGTTCGGCTCGAGTTCCATTCAGCGACACCGGAGCTCGAAACGCGCACTGTGCGAAAAAACCACAGTGAATCCCGTTAATTTTTTTGCCGGGATATACTGTAGTTCAGAACACAGGATTTACCGTGCCTGGCTACAGTATCTACTGTACCTGGTACAGGATATTCCGTACTCCACTCCTGTGGTACAGTAAATCCCGTACAAAGTACAGTAGATCCTGTTAAAAAAGTACTGTAAATCCTGTACTCTGAACTACAGTGACAGCTGTACTAATCACTACAGGATTTACTGTGATTTTTTCCCACAGTGCGTCCGGGATTTTGACCGGCCCCGCCGGTCTCCTGGCCCACTGTGAGTCGCTGTTTGTTGCCTTTTTTCCAGTGCGGCGTGAAAAGGCACACACATCCTGGTTGACAAAGGCCAGGCGCCAATGGGCAGTCGAGTCTGGCGCCAGCGCGGCCAGCGCGGCCAGTGCACGCCAGCCTGCGTCCACGTGCGGGTCGTCGCCCGCCAACCCCCAGCGGGGCCTTGGGGGGCCTTGGCGGGGCCCCCACCCCTTGGCGAAAGCATTCACCGAATCTCACACACGATTTCACGAAACATGTGGACTTTGAGGCTCGCGGCTTGGCCGGCCGGGGGACGTCGACGGTCGGACGGTCGTGGGGGCGGCAGGCCGGCCAGGCCGGCAGACTGATTCCGAGAGTCGTTTTCGTCGCTCTGTCTCTCTCGCACCTGAACGGCACGCCCCATGAGTGCGAGGGAGATAGAGCGACGAAAACGACTCTCGGAATCAGCGTGCTGGCCAAGCCAGACCAGCGCCATGCCACCATGACGTATCTGCGCCGCGACGTGCCCGTCGGTACCCCCATCTCTCTCTCTCTCTCTCCTCTCTCTCTCTCTCTCTCTCTCTCTCTCTCTCTCTCTCTCTCTCTCTCTCTCTCACACACACACACACACACACACACACACACACACACACACACACACACACACACACACACACACGCCCGGGCGGCTCAATGTCTTGGAAAATGTATCGAAAATGTCCTCAGCTGGAATTGGCCGTGCGTCATGGCGGCTGACAGCGCCAAGGGCAGGGCGGCCCTGGAACGCCCTGGAACGCCGGCAGAGTGACATTCCTCAAAAAATTCCAGTCGCAAATTCCTGGAAAATATCCTACTCGGGAATGCCGGGACGTCGGGGCGGCGAATCAGTGCCCGCGACATGGCGAGTGCGTCCCCCAGGGCGCCGCCCGCCCGGCCGTCCCTCGGGACGCAAGGGACGCTCTGGACCAGACCACTGCAGTCGTCTCTCCGTCTCTCTCGCACCCACACGGGACGCCCCATGAGTGCGAGAGAGACAGAGCGACGAACCCTCGGAATCAGTAGGCCGTAGGCCGGGCCGGTGGGATCACCTAGCCGCCTCCCTCACCTCCCAAATTCCCCTCACGCTCCAAACATCTTGGTCAGTAGTGGTCAAGAATGATTTATCGCCCGACTGGACTAGAGCGGTCTCTGATTCCTGATCCCACCCGGGGGAGCTGCGGATCATGCTACACTTGTGGTATTCACAAAACGTTCGATTCCCGCGAAAAAAAAGTGCGCACTTCTTGCAGTGGAGAACGCCCCCCAGTGGGCCAGAAGACCAGCGCAGGCGGACAAAACCCTTGACGCGTTAGAGCTCCAGAGTCACTAAAAGAACTCAAACCGAACGTGTGACCCCACCAATGGGTTGCTCTCCGAACGAGGAATCCATTGGTGGGGTCACACGTTCGGTTCGAGCCCCATTTAGCGACTCTCGAGCTAAAAACGCGTCAGAGTTTTGTGGCCGCCTGCGCCGGTCTTCTGTCCCAAAGTGCGCACCGAACTGCGCGGCGCAGCAGCTGACTCGTTCCGGCTCGTGGCACGCGGCACGCGCAGCACGAGTCTCTCTGGCTACGCCTCACTTCCAGATGTCTGCCCTTTCCGTCCGTCCGTCTGTCTGTCTGTCTGTCCGTGCCGTCCGCTGGGCGCCAGGCCGCATTCCTGCGAATTTCCGGTTGCCGTCGAGCGGCGCGTCGCCTCTGCCGGCGGCGCTGGCAGTGCCGCCGAGTGCCGCAGTGGACAAGGGAAGACTCCTGATTGAACGAATTAATCTGGAATCGCCAGTTGCTGGCAACACAGCCCGTGCCTCGTCGTCCTTTCGTCCTCCGCCCCTCGGCGCTCCGTCCACAGTGGGCCAGAAGGCCGGTGCAGGCGGCCAAAATTCGAGACGCGTTTTGAGCTCCAGAGTCGCTCCACAGGATTCGAAACAAACGCGCGACCCCACTTATGGATTCCTCGTTCGGGAAGCAATCCTTTGGTGGGGTTACATATGTTCGGTTCGAGTCCCATTCAGCGACTACGGAGTTGAGAACGCGTCGAGAGTTTTGGCCGCCTCCACCGGTCTTCTGGCCCACTGTGCGCGCTGTGCGCCCTTGGGCCCTTTCCCCGCGTCAGCAGTCCCTCCGTTCCCTTATTCGGCTCACAACAGAGGCCCGGCATCACAAGCTTTTTGTTTCGGCCTTTCGGGGGCAGGCGGGTTCACTCGTTAGTCGGGGCGCTGGTAATTATAGGCTTTGAGACAAATCTGGGGCCGCTGGGTGGCGGACCGCGGCGAGGGGGAGGGGGAGTTGATTTCACACAGCTTCCTCGCCTAACTTTTCGGCCCCAGCTCAGCGCCTCTTCAAAGGCAACCGTGTCCTCCTCGGATCCATTGACCTCGCCACGCACACAGACAGTCCTGCGCGGAGCCGTTCGCCACACTGTTAAAACTTTAAATTTCGCCGGCGATGCTACATCTATGTGAAACAGTAATTTCGATTCTTGTGAAGGTTTTATTTTTGACAGTGTGGTTCGAAGGAGGATCCGTTCCGGCCTTTGACTGGCGTCCCAAGGGACCGGTGACGCGACGCGGCAGGAGCCCGAATGGCCCAGCCAGGCTGAAGCATCAGCATTACAAACCGTAATCAAGGCTGGCGAGCCGAGCGAGCCGAGACGGGGCGCACAAAGATCAGCAGGCAGGGCCTCGACCACTACCATCACCATCACCACCAACACCGCCACAACCATCATCATCATCATCATCATCATCATCATCATCATCATTATCATCATCATCATCATCATCATCATCATCATCATCATCATCATCATCATCATCTCCATCATCATCCCCACCATCATCACCACCACCACCACTACCACAACCATCATCACCACACCACCACCATCACTACCGCCATCACCATCACAACCAACAACACTACCACCACCATTACCACCACCACCACCACAACCCTGACGATGGCCTCTGCACCTCCAGCACCGCACGAACACACCCCAACTGATGTCTCGGCCTATCGAGGGGGACCGCGGGGGCAAGGCGAGCACAAGGCACACATCAGGGCGGCATAGCAATGGGGGCGATGGGGACATCGACAATGTCTCCCTCGCACTCACGCGGCGGCGCACACGGGTGCGAGAGAGACCGACGGCGTCCGTCACGTAGGGGACGACGACGGAGAGAGGGACGCGGAAGATGACCAGCGGATCACACGCCATCAAACGCGAGGCACGCGGCCATCCCCCCCACCCTCTCTCCCTTCCTCTCTCTCCCTCTCCCTCCCTCTCTCCCTCTCTCTCCCGGTCTCTCCCTCTCTCCCCCTCCCTCTCTCCCTCTCTCTCCCTCCCACTAGCCGCGAGAACGACAGAGACGGCGTCACTCCGTACCTGACACTGATCGAGCGGGGCGCGGCGTTTGCGCCGGCACTCCGCGCGCCAAATTTGAATGCCACGCGGAGTGAAAGTCATTTCTTTTTTTTCGGGCTGGGCTTTCCCTTGCCGTGCCGGACATTCCACGGGGACTTTTTTTTTTACGACAGCCTTTGTCACACGTGCGCGCACACTGCGAGCAAACAGGTCTTTTTTTTATTTCTCTCTCGCACCGGCTCGGTGTTGTTTGCATTTTTATCGAATTACAAGCTGTCGTTTCTCTCTCTCTCTCTCCTCTCTCTCTCTCTCTCTCTCTCTCTCTCTCTCTCCTCTCTCTCTCTCTCTCCCACGTGACGTCAGACATTACGCGCGTAACGAGAGTTTCATTACGGTGATGGCGTTCTTGCAGTGGCGGGGCAACCAGGCAGCAAGGATGAAAAAGATGTGTCAACACGCACGCGTTGTCAAGAACAGAGCTCGTGCATATTTCGGGGGAACGAGTGTAGTACTCTCGATAACCAATGACCAGCGCTTCACGAAGTCATCAGGCGGTGACTGATACAGATTGACCACACTCTCAAAACCTCGGGCCTTATGCAGAGAGAACGTAGTTTGCGGCAAAAATCAAAGTACTTTGAGCATAAGGGCACTCGCAAAGGAAATACTTCATGCACTATTTCTTGCTGTAGAAAAATAAACAGTTTCTACCTTTGCTCAGAATACGTGGTGAGGTTTAAACCGTGCGCTCCGAGGACAGACCATGGTCCAATCTGACGATATTTTAATGGAGACGCTATTTTCTGATTTTGACAATCCTTGTTGCTCCTTTGCCAGAGTGCGAGAGGGACTCACCTGTCGTCGTAGACGAAGCCGGCCTGCATGGTGTTCCAGTAGAGGAAGAAGGCGAGGCACGCCACCAGCACCTCCACCCGCCGCTTGTCCTGGAGCACGCCATCCTTGGCGGCCAGCCTGCAGCAGAACGAAGCACACACCGTCACTTCGTGTGCACAAACAGCAGTCATTGTCTCCGCTCAGTGCCCCTCTCGCGCCCATAGGGAACGCCCCATGAGTGCGAGAGGGACAGAGTGACGAAACGCGGCTCTCGGAATCAGTGTGTACAGGCCGATCAGAAATTTGGGAGGGTGTTATTGACAAGGGCACCGGTTCCCTGACCGCGCCGCCACGGGTGAAAACTCGCTAATTTTGGCCCGGCGGCCGCCAGGCCCCCATCCAGCCCAAAGTGCCCGTCCCTGGCTCTGCGGGGGGCGTTGTGGGCGGGGCGGGGTGGGGCGGGGCGGGGCGGGGCGGGGTGGGGCGGGGCGGGGCGGGGCGGGGCGGAGCGGGGCGGAGCGCAACAGGTTGGGGCAGACGGCGGCGCCGGGGGCAAAGGTCACACTCCCCATTTGCATAACCCGTCACTCTTGCGGCGTATCGGTCAAAAATAAAAACAAAAATTTACTTCTGTTTTTCGGCAACAGATTATTGAGGAGGTGCACAGATGTTGGTGACGGTGATGTCGATCGGTCGCGCGTACAAACAATGCCAACCCAACCGCACGTCGGTACGTCTATATTTTTTAAAATTCGCTTTTTTTTTTTTTTTTCCACTTTTTATTTTGTTTTTCTTTGCCCTTCTGTTCCTCCCCGCGTTATTACTCTTCCCCTTCGGCAGCTCCACGCTGCGCTTTGTATTAACTGCCCGCGGGCGTTTGGCGTCAAGGGAGAGGGCGGCAGTAGCAGTAGCAGAAGCAGCAGAAGCAGCAGCAGCAGCAGTAATAGTAGCAGCAGCAGCAGTAGTAGCAGCATTTGGCAGCAGCAGCGGCAGGGACCTCGCCCACGGGCCTGTGGCCTGCCCCTGCCCCTGCCCCTGCCCTACTCGCGGAGTCCAATCATCAAATTCCATAGTGCACGCTTCTTTGAGACGCTATTGCCCCTGCCCCTGCTGTTGTTGCTGCTGCTGTTGTCGGAGTGATTCCTGCACCCACCCCCTCAACTAAAGTCGACAAGAAGAGCAAGATGTTGCGGCCCAGCGAGTGGTTTTCCATGCCGCGGTGCGCCCCCCCCCCCTTTAGACCTTCCGGATGGCGATCCCGGACTCTGGCCCTTGCGACGTCCCCCCCCCCCCTCCTCCGCCCTCTCCATCCCGAGGAGCCGACAAACTCATTACGCGCTGCATAATTTGCATAATTGCATCCGGACTAAATTGCTCCCCTTCTCTCTCTCTCGCTCCCGGCTATGTGCCTCTCACTCTGTTAGTCTGTTAGTTACTTAGTAAATAGTAATGGCCGATGCAGAGCCCTTCGGGGCAGTCAGGGAGTATCGACCAAGTGAATGACTTTCGGAAAGAGGAGCACTCACACACGTACACGCGCACACAACAACACGTGCTCACACACACACGCGCGTGCACGCACACCACACACACATAAACAGGGGCGTCACGGTGGTTGTCACGCCCTTGTCACCCCGTGACGTCACGCGTGACAAAGATACACGGTGTCACGACGTGTCACCGCGGCGTGACGGGCAGGCACGAGGGGAGCGCCCCGCCCCGCCCCGCCACGCGTCGACTTATGAAATTACACGCTGCACCCCTACACACTGGGCCGCACTGCAAGAAAAAAATTTCGTTATTTTTTTTCAAGGTTTATTGTTGTTGATTTCTTTTTTTGTCAGTCTGTTTTTGTTATTGTCTGGTAATGGAAGTGACTTTTTGAAAAGGAAAAGACGTGGCCAGTATTGGAAATCGAAACCCTGGACGAACAGCTCCACGCAGGGGTTGCATACCATCACTCGGAAAGAGCCGAGGGCGCTGGGATTCCTTAATCAACAAACTCGTACTTTCGGCTCATTTGAAAAAAAAAAGTTTTTCGCGTCAGTTTATTGTTTAAAGTGTACCAGATGCATTTTGCAGCACTGCACAGCAGTCCGACAGCCCGCATCACTGGCTGAGTCACGCGGACCGTCCCCTGCAGGCATCCCGCTGCCTCCCCCTCCCCTCCCTTCCCCGCATGTCCCTTCATTCACACCAGCGGCGACCAACCCCACCAAAAACGCGTCCTACACAACCCCATGTCGCCGTCTGACGTCTCTCTGATCTGATCACATTCTGATGGTTCCATGGGGGCTGGCGGGGCAGGGGCAGGACCTGGGGTTGGGGAGCAGGCAGGGAGGATGGAAATAAATGAAGAAAGGAATATTTCGTGTCGAAACCGCAGGGATACGCGTCTGACCGTCTGTCTTCTGTCCGTCCTCTGTCTGTCTGCATGCTTTTGACAGTGTAGCCGGCAGGATGTGGCTGCTGCACTGGAGGCAAACCGGAGGCGAGGGCCCTCGAGACGACGCCAGCCTCGCCCCTTTGAGGTAGGCGCCACTTTTCATTAGCGGAGGCGGTACCTGTGCCTCGCCCGTCTGCCTGCTCGGTCTGCCCGGCCTGCCCGCCCAGGGGTGGGGAAATTGCATTCCTCTTGCAGCCGTTCAGAAAACGCAGCAGTGCTCCTCCGTTCCTTTGCACCGCGCCTAGAGGGCCAGAAGACCGGCAAAGGCGGACAAAACTCTAGACGCGTTCTAAGCTCGCGGTCGCTGGGACTCGAACCGAACGTGTGGCCCCAACAATCGATTGCTCTCCGAACGAGGAGTCCATAGGTGGGGTCACCTCGCTTCGAGTCCTGCTTAGCAACTCTGGAGCTCAAAACGCGTCTAGAGTTTCGGCCGCCTGCGCCGGTCACTGTGCCGCGTGAGGCTATTTTCTTGCAGTGGAGAGGGCACCAGGCGTCTCCCTCGACCCGGTCAGGGCGAGGCGGTCGTGCATCCCAAGTAGGATGTGGGCCAGTGCATGCGTCCGTCGCCTGTCCGTCTGTCTGCCCGCCTGTCGCAGGACGATCTAATCTCCCGCCGCTCAGTCAGAGAGCCCTTTGAGTACGAGTGAAATGCCCTTCCCCTCCGTCAAGGCCCGTGCGGCCCGCGGCTTGGCTCGGCTCGGCGGCCTCGGGGGAGTCAGCCCAGGCAGCCGCCGCCACACAGAGCGCCACGCCACACGCGGGTACCCGGCCGGCAGCAGACTGATTCCGAGAGTCGTTCTCGACGCTCTATGTCTCTCTCGCACCTGTACGGCACGCCACATGAGTGCGAGAGAGACAGACGGACGAAAACGACTCTCAGCCTGCAGGGCGGCAGGGCGGCAGGGCGGCGAGGCAGGGAGACGTCTATTAGGGAAATGAAATGTTAATCCGAGCGCGGGATGACGCGTCACGTGACACAGCTTCCGTCTCACTCCACCGACGCTGTCTCACTCCAACAACCTGGCCGCGGCCTGGCCGTGGGGCTTTTAAAAGTATTGCGCCGCACCAGCCGCACCCCTCACGCCACGCCACGCCACGCCACGCCACGCCCGGCCACGCCTGCGCCGTTCCCGGCCGTGTCGCTCACACAGCAGGCTGATTCCGAGAGTCGTTTTCCCGCTCTGTCTCTCTCGCACCAGTAGGGAACGCCCATGAGTGCGAGAGAGACAGAGCGACGAAAAGCGACTCTCGGAATCAGTCAGCTGGACAGTTACTCTGCTCTGGTTTTCCATCCGAACCCGCCCCGCGCGGCAGTCATTCAAAAGACCACCCAAATGTGTCCGTCGTGAGTCGAATCGTTTCCCGGACATTTTCTCCCATTTGTTAGAGTGTAGACGGCAGGCGGACTTCAGCGAAACTAACGACCTTTTCTCTCCGGCCCTGCAGGCTCGGCGCGGCGCGGCAGCGTCTCGCGGCGCGAAGGCGGAAATCCCGTCGACGAAGCCCGGCAGCGTCGCGAAGCCGCGAAGCCACAGTGGGCCGGAAGACCGGTGGAGGCGGCCAAAACTCTAGACGCGTTTTGAGCTCCTTAGTCGCTAAACAGGACTCGAACCGAACCGAACGTGTGACCCCACCAATGGATTGCTCTCCGAACGAGGAATCCATTGGTGGGGTCATCACACGTTTCGTTCGAGTCCTGTTTAGCGACTCTGGAGCTCAAGGCGCGTCTAGAGTTTTGGCCGCCTCCACCGGTCTTCCGGCCCACTGTGCGGCGTAGCCACGCGCGGCGGCGCCCACCAACATCAACAAGGACACCGTCAGGCTCGAGGGGGAAAGGTGGGAAGTGGGAAAGGGGAGGGGAGGGGAAGGGGACGAAGGAGCCATTGGCAATCCGCGCTGCCGCACCTAACGCGGCCTTGTTATCCCGAACTCCGACCCCTTTGCCGCCAAACCGTGTTGTTTGTCCAACTATGCCGAGTAGTCCCCCTCCCCCCGTCCCCCTTCGGATTGCCGCGCACTATGCCCAACTTCCAGCGATTGGTCTCGATGAGCCGTTCTCGGCAGACTGATTCCGGGGGTCGTCGCTGTGTCTCTCTCTCCCACCTACACGGGACGCCCCGTGAGAGCGAGAGAGACCAGAGCGACGAAAGCGACTCTCGGAATCGGTCTGCTGAGCGCTCTCGGCTCGCCCACCCCGCCGAACGCCTTTGGCTTCGCGGAGACAAAAACCGCATCAAACTCGACTCCCTCCTTGCCGCATTGCCCCACAGTGGCGGCGCGGGACGTCAAGTGACGCCATCTCACTTCCACGGGCACCATCCCGAAGGGAGAGAGAGAGAGAGAGAGAGAGAGAGAGAGAGAGAGAGATCGTCGATTGTGAACTCGGGACTAAGATTTTAAAGCGTCGGCCACAACGACGAAAAAACAATTGTCACGGGTGAAACCTCTGAGAGCTGCTTCTCGTTGCTATTCTACGCCGGCTACAATAAATTTTCATCACTTTGACTTTCATTCTCCTTACAGCCGGGGCAGGTGCATTTTATCATCACCAAACCCAAACACAGTGCAAAAAGTCTCTCGCTTCTCCGACCGGTTCCAACCCAAATTGTTTCCCGTGACGTCATTCTCTTCTTTCTCTCTCGCTCGGTGGTGTCACCCTTTTTTTTCGGCCGCCGTTCGGGGCCGCCATGGGGCCGCGGTCGTGGCTCCGGGGTATTGACAGGGGGCAACCTTTCCCATGTGATAAATTATCGACACATTCTGCCCCCTTGCAGCCGCACGGGGGGAGCCGGAGCGCGCACGCCGCCGCCGCTTAGACATCATTTCCATATTTTCGTGATATATCCGGCGCGGGGTTGACACCCAATCATGAAGTCGAGATGGATTGCAATCCGGTTCCCCCCCGTGCCCCGCCCTCCCCCCTCGACCCCCCCCCACCCCACCCCCACCCCTTTGGGCACACCGCAGTCAATGATGTGTTATATGAGCTCCACGACCACATCGCCATCCGCGCCGCGCGCCGCCGGGAAGGCCATTCCCACCTCTTTTTCCACACATCAGCCTGCCATCACACACACACACACACACACACACACACACAACGCGCGCGCGCAGACACACACACAGCAAAAAATAATTGTTGTTACTTCACGGACAAAATAGTGGATGATATTTTCATCTCTTTCAAACGATGACGATTTTATCACAAATCGATGACATTTTCATCAAAGCTTCAAATGGAACTTATCGTATGGGCGTGACAACATGGGTTTGATAACAGTCTTGTAGGGAAAATAAGCTTTAAAATATCATAAAGTGACGGTCAAAGTTTTACACTGTAAAGAAAACGGGCTCACAAAAAAAAAATTAAAAGATTTAAAGTTTTTCTAACAGGATGGCTTTGTTGATTTTGTGGATCAGGCACATACAGTCGAGTGTTTTAATGGTGGGTTTTGGTGGTGCTTTTTGTGGGTTTCGTTTAAGCGTGACGGGGTGGAGCTGCGTGCAGCGGGTCGCACTTGGGCCAGAAGTCCGGGTAGAGGTGGCCGAAATCTAGACGCGTTTTGAGCTCCGGAGTCGCTGAATAGGGCTCAAACCATAAGAGTGACCCCACCAACGGATTCCTCGTTCGGAGAGCAATCCATTGGTGGGGTCACACGCTCGGTTTCAGTCCTGTCTAGCGACTCTGGAGCTCAAAACGCGTCTGGCCGCCCCCACCGGTCTTCTAGCCCACTGTGGGGCGGGCCGCCGAGAAGTCTGCCGCTGCAGCCCTTGGCCGGGGCATGGCCGGGGTAATTATAGTAAGAGTAAATCTTGGGGTCCGATCGCGAAGGGCGACATTTATCGGCACACCCACCCTGCCTGCCTGCCTGCCTGCCTGCTTGCCTGCCTGCCTGCCTGCCTGCCGAAGACCGAGGGTGGCCGAAGCCCCTGCCCGCCTCAAACTGCCGAGTCGTCAGTGGCACCCAAATTTGCCGTAATTGCCCCTGAATGGGGAGAGGCGACGCGACCCGCGATGGAGGATAAAGAGGCAGGAAAAAAAAAACAGGCGATTGTTAAGGCGCAATCGAAGGCGCAAAGTAGCCTAATTATTTTACGAAGATATAAGAATTTTTTGTGAGTTTTCTCGACTTATGGGTATTTTGGCGCCGAGTTAAGTTGTCCGTCTTATTTTTTTGTTGAGAGGAGAGACCGGTCTGCTCCGAGCCCCCGAGCCACCCCGGGCGCGGGCATTCCGTCACGCTGCTCATATCCGCTGCGAGGCACCGAAACGCCTTGCGGTGTGGCGTACACGTCGGGGCGAAGCGCACCGCGCGTCAAAAATTCACCAACAACGCGTTCCCGAGAGGAAGGTGTTTCAAACTTTGCTACTGCGCCTGCTGCACAGTGGGCCAGAAGACCGTTGGAGGCGGCCAAAACTCTCGACGCGTTTTGAGCTCCAGAGTCGCTAAACCGGACTCGAACACTGAGAATTTAAGTCGTCACTTAATGACAATTTCAAGGCTAATTTTCCTTACAAGGATGTCATCAAAACGATTGATGACATTGTTGTCACGCCCATGCAATAAGTATTGGGGCTTTGACGAATATGTCATTAATTTGTGTTGAGTTTGTCATCATTTGAAAGTGATGAAAATATCATCGACGATTTTGTCATGAAGTGACAACAAATTTTAACAGGGAACCGAACCAGGTGTGACCCCACCAATGAATTTCTCTCCGAACGATCAATCCATTGGTGGAGTCACACGTTCGGTTCGAGTCCCATTTAGCGACTCTGGAGCTCAAGACGGGTCCAGAGTTTTGGCCAGCTCCGGGACGGCGCCTGCAGCGCGCCTGCGAGGTACCGGGTAGGCAGCGCGGTAAACACCCGTGGCCCCGTGCGGCCTACCCGCAAGGTGCGAGCCCGCCAGCCCGCCATCCTCTGCAGGCCTCGCTCTTTTCGACGCGACGACTCACCAAGAGAGCGGCGCTCTTTCCTTTGCAGTGTAGTTCACGACAGCAAGCACACTGCCAAATGAAAAACTTGCGTGCAGGCTCGTCAGACTGCCAGGCCGTGCGCATGTCCCGGCCTGTACTGCCGCCGCGGCCACGCCCAAGCGAGCGTCGCCACACCGCCGCCGGGAGGCAGCAATGCCGTCCCCAGCAGACTGATTCCGAGAGTCGCTTTCGTCGCTCTGTCTCTCTCGCACCTGTACGTGACGCCCCACGAGTGCGAGAGAGACAGTGATGGAAACGACTCTCGGAATCGGTCTGCAGTTTGAAATCCAGCGGCGAGACGAGCCGCGAGAGCGAAGCGTGTTTCAAGTCAAAATGACGAAACGCGAAGGGATTGGCGAGGGAGTGGCGGTAGCAGGCACAGCCAGGGCGCAGCGAAGCGCGAAACCCCTTTAAGACAACCAATTTGAGGTTCCAACTTTGTTAGCTCGAGGAATCAACACATCAAAGGCGCGCCGCTGCGGGGGCAATCGGCTCAGGCCAATTTATTCACATTTTCCACAATCGGCGGCCGAGCCAGAGCCTCGTCGGAGGCCAGCCTCTCAGTGGATTTGCCAGAAGACCGGCGGAGGCGGCCAAAACTCTAGACGCGTTTTGAGCTCCGGGGTGGCTAAATGGGACTCGAACCGAACGTGTGACCCCACCAATAGATTCCTCGTTCGAAGGGCAATCCATTGGTGGGATCACTCGTTCGGTTCGAGTCCCGCACTCTTAAAAACTTACGAAGTATTTTGAGCATACATGGTACAAACAAATTTACAAATTCGTAAATTACGAAGTATTTTCTTTGAAAGCTTAAGTATGCTCAAAAATACTTTGTTAAAACAAGCTGTTTTTTTGTAAGGCCTGCAATAGTTTGTAAGGTTTTCTCCGAGCGTTTAGCTCAAAACACGTCCAGAGTTTTGGCCGCCTGCACCGGTCTTCTGGTCCACTGTTCACGGCCTTTGTTTACCGGCTTGGAAGCACTCTGGCTGGGCTGCGCCAGGCTGCGCGCTGAGCGGACGTGAGGTTTTGTTCGAAACTGTCGGTGGTGTGATCGGGCGCTTCGAAAGAGGAGAAAGAGCGGCGCCGACTCGATTCCCTGAACAAATCCGCCGAGACGAGAACGAGCTGAGCCCTGTTCCCGATGACACGCATCGCGCGCAGCGGCCACGGCCAGCCGTCCGGGGGAACACGACTACAGGCACGTTTTGAGTTTCGAGCTCTAGATTCCTGAGTAGTAACGACAGCCCCTGTTCACTCACCGCCGCAAAGACACTAAGACCGGTGCAGGCGGCCAAAACTCCAAACGCGTTTCGAGCTCCATAGTCGCTAAATGGGACTCGAACCGAACGTGTGACCCCACCAATGGATTTCTCTCTGAACGAGGCGCCCCAGTTACCCCGCTCATTCATCCAGCAGCAGGTGACGGGCAGACTGATTCCGAGAGTCGTTTTCGTCGTTCTTTCTCTCTCGCACCAACACGGGGCACCCACGAGTGCGCGAGAGACAGCGCGACGAAAGCGCTCCATCGCGCCGTCCCAGGCTGCAGCCCCGGCGGGGCGTGGCCGTCTATAAATATTTGCAGCGCCCGGAGCTCCCGTCGCAGCACGCACGCCCGGCGACGCCCAGGCGACGCAAGGCGGCGCGCGGCAACGCCAGGCGCGAGATTTAAAATTAAAATCGTTCCCGCGTGACGCGGTCTCACGCCTTTCTTTTACAGGTGAGCGTGTGTGCGCGTGTGTGCGTGCGTGTGGGGGATGGGGGAATCCGAGAAAGCGCTGAGAAAGCCGCGTCTCCCGCCGATACTTTGCGAGTGAAATCCGTCGCCATCTCGCTCTCTCTTCTCACCTGGTGGTGCGCTGGTCCCGCGCGGCGCTGTAGGCGCTGCCATAGCCGCTGCCGTGGGTGGCCCCATGGCGCGGGGGCGCGTGGCGCGAGGCCTGGTGGTGTGGCCCGCGGCCGTGGGGGCCCTCAACAGGTGCCATGGCCACACTAGCGTCACTAGCGTGCCTCCGGAGTCATCGCGGCACCACACAACGTGCCAGTGGCGACTCTAGCCAGGCACCACTTAGCATTCACATTCACTTTCACTTTCGATGCGACATTCACTTTCACTTTCAGTTTGGTTCCGCCCGGCCTGGCCGGGCTGGCGTATCCTTGGCCGCGGCCCTGCCGACGGGGCGGTGCTGGGTGGTGGTCACTCGGCGCGGTGGCCGTGGTCACTGCGGGCGCGGCGCATGGCGCATGGCGCGGCCACGTGGCCTCGGACACGGCCGTCGCGACGTGCTGGCGGACGCGGCGTCGCGGCGTCGCGGCCGGCGCGGGGCTGCCTGCGTGTGCGGTGCGTCCGGCGTCGCGCGGCGCACTGCCACTACACTGCCAGCCTGCCGGCGGGGCGTCTGGAGCCGCGCGCGCCGCGACGCCCACCGACGCCGCCTTCCCAACCGGCGGCCGGCGCAACCCCCACCACCGCCGGCACCGCCCCCTCCCCGCCCCCACCCCGCCCCCACCCCGGCCCACACCGTCGCCAGCAACGGCTCGTGCGCTGGCCGAGTTCAAATTTGTACTTCGTTAGCAGTCCCGCACTCGGCGTTCTGGTTTCGCCGCCTGAAAGGTAGTCAAAAAGTCGCACATTACGCCTGTAGGTAGGCAATTTTCGCGACATCCCCCCCCCCTGAACCCGTCCCTGGATCCGCCCTTGACATGAGTACGGGTGAGGAAGCCTTCCTATACTCATAAATTTCACATTTTTAAACGTTTTGTGACTTTATTAAGCGGTTTAGACGACACACAACGCCAAATCATCCTCTTGACAAAAGCTATAAAAAAATTTAAACAATCCTTTTAAAAATTTAAGTTTACTTTCAGGGGTGACCCAGTATAAAATTGTGTGTACAATGACAAGACAAGGTTTCTGGCATTTTCGCCACACGTGTTTCCCACTTACAAGCGTTTTTGCCACCTGAATGGGGAAGGTGTTCAGATATAGTACAATGAATGGGGGGAGCTCTGTTCATCCCCCGGTCAACCATACCGCGCCTAGGGATAGTCTTCAAATTTTGGGAAGACACGATGGGCGCATTTCGATACTCACTTCGCTAAAAACCGAACCCAAGTCCAAAAATAAACTAACCTAACCTTCCCGACAGACCAAGCAGCCCACGAACGTCACTATGCTTTTATTTACTAAACTGCGAGTCACGGCGCGGTGCAGCGGGGGCGGTTCCAAGCGGGGCGGGGCGGGGCGGGGCGGGGCGGGGCGCTAGCAAGGCCCAGACGGACGATAACGAAAAGTGTGTGTTGTTTGTAACAAGGCGCGCGGCCGCAGGTCAGGTCGACGCGGGTTGACGCCGAGGGGAGGGGACCGGAGGGGACGAAACTGCCCTGGCCTAACCACCGTCCGCGCGTCCGCACCCGAGCATTACCCTGCTTGTGTTTGCAATCGCCCGGACAATGGACCTGCCAAACGGCGTGTCCCGAAAACAACAACAACAAGAAAAAGCGAATGGCTTCAAATACCCGTAATCATTTTCATTCTTTATTTTTTTGTGCCTGCGTAAAACGAGCCCTCCCCCCTCCCCCGACATAAAGCGGGTGACGCATTTTAAAAGACCCACCGACGTGACAGCGCAATCTTAGATACAACCAGAAGATTGCGCTGCTGCTGCCGGTTGCTGCCGTTGCTCGCAGGCGCGGCGTAAAAAGAAAGACCCACTTTGGAGCCACACACACACACACACACACACGTACACGCACTGACGACACACGCACCCCACCCACAGGCCGAATTCCCTTGTTTACAATTTTGTAGTTGCACAACGGCGTGAATATAATTATGCACAGCGTGGTGCGTCATGAATGCGCGCGCGGAAACGTGTATAAATATGTACAAAACCGTACCCAAGGAGTTTTCACACACACATACGCACACACACACACACGCGTGCGCGCGCGCACGCACCACCAACCACCACATGACTGCACCGCAAACCTTATTTCGCTTCCAGCTTGATCCCTCTGTTATTCTTTTCAATCGCGCCGCCGCCCCGCCCCGCCCCGCCCCCGCACGTGCAAACAACACGCAACCTCCCGAGTCGCGCCTAGGCGCCGTGCTGCTCGCCCTAGCCGCCCTTGCCCCGCCCGCCTCGGTGGCGTTCGCCGCGCTCGCCGCGTTCGGCGTGCTGTGTGTAAATGGCGAAGCAATGGAATCGCCGAGCCGTGACGTAACGGCTGCCGCCGCCGCAGCACAGTGGGCCAGAAGACCGGTGGGGGCGGCCGAAACTCCAGACGCGTTTTGAGCTCCAGAGTCGCTAAATGAGACTCGAACCGAACGTGTGACCCCACCAATGGATTGCTCTCCGAACGAGGAATCCATTGGTGGGGGGGTCACACGTTCGGTTCGAGTCTCATTTAGCGACTCTGGAGCTCAAAACGCGTCTGGAGTTTCGGCCGCCCCCACCGGTCTTCTGGCCCACTGTGCTGCAAACAGGCAGCCCTCCGGCCAGCCAGACCAGCAGCCAGCCGGCCTCCCTGCGGGCGCGTCAACGCACGGCCATATGTTATCGAGTGTTCCCACACTGACCTCCCTGCACCCCTTGCCCTGCCCCGCACCCACACACCCCTACACACACGTGAACACACACACTCACACACACAGGCCGGGCAGCACGTGCCGAAAGACTTTTGGCCTCCGAAAGGGTGCTGCTGGGGTGCGTGCGTATTGGGGGTGCAGATTTCACTCCCCACTTTAGAACGGCGGCGCTGCGCATTTTATTCCCCTACCCCCTCCCCCTCCCATCCCCTCCTCCGTTTCCTTCCTTATCTCCCCGAGTCCCCGCGTCGTGTCATTATCGCCCAATCCCTTGCCTCCGTATCAGCAGCGGCCAAGCAGGACCAAGGCCGCACAGGGCCGCGCAGGGCGCGCAGGGGGTGCGAGGTGTGAGTGTGTGTTAGTGTCTGTGTGTGTTTGTTAGTGCCTGTGTGTTAGTGTGTGTTAGTGCGCGTGTGTGTTAGTGTCTGTGTGTTAGTGCGCGTGTTAGTGTCTGTGTGTTAGTGTGTTGGTGTTCAAACTCTGTCAAAAACAACAAAAACAATAAAAATCTAATGCAGTTTGATTGTACTTTGTGACAACGTTGATAAACACACGAAAAATTGGCCAATTTTCTGTGTGGAGCAAGCTCAAAAACGACAGCTGGTTCTTCCAGAAACACACCCTCAACTCATCCCCACAGGGCCACGGCCTCGAGCGGCCGACTCCGAGCCTTAGGCTGACTGCCAGGTTGTTTCTGACTGCAGTGCGGGCCAGCAAGCCCTCTCGAGTCTAATTGGTTTATTAAATCTCTTTAGCCGAAACTGTATGTTAATGACGTCTTACTTTGGCACACACACACACACACACACACACACACACGCGCGCACACACACACACACACACACACAGAGTCAGTCGTACACGCGCTCGCGCCGCAAATGACGTGCAAACAACGAAGCGTGCCGCATAGCAATCCCGAAACTAACACACCGCCGCACCACCACGCCGCCGGCTTGTCCGGCTCGTCCCGCGGGGACCACGTGCATCGGGAGGTCACCACCCGATGCCGGCCTCGGCGTACACCCCGCCCCGCCCCAACCTGCCCCACCCCACCTCGCCCCGCACTACGGGTGCCGAATGCCGAATGGAGACTAAATGTTGATCCAGTTCGTTGCAATCATCACGGCGGGGCAGGCCAGGGCTGCCGGACGATCGAAGCAGCGCGAAGCAGCGAGCCAAAAGCGCGGTGGTGTCCTGTCACTGGAATTCCCTCCCCCACCCCCACCCCCGGCCCACCATATGGCGAAGCTCCTTCTTGACTCATATAACGCGCGCCCCGCCTTGCCGGCCTTGCCCCGCCGCACCCTCCCTCGTCAACTTGACTGCCGGCGAGGCGCGGCGAGGCGAGGGGTGGGTGCGCGGCCGTTTGGGCCTCGCCGAAGCGCGACGCGCGCGCGCACACACACACACACACATTAAAAGCGGCCAAAATTCTAGACGCGTTTTGAGCTCCAGCCAGAGTCACTAGACAGGACTCGAACTCGAACCGAACGCCTGACCCGACCAACCGATTCCTCGTTCGGAGAGCAATCCATTGGTGGGGTCACACGTTCGGTTCGAGCCTCGTAAAGCGACACTGGAGCTCCAAACGCGTCCGGTATTTTGACCGCCTCCACCGGTCTTCTGGCCCACTGTTCGTCACATTGTCTCACCTAACCTCGGCCTTCCCATCCTCATACCCACTGGCCGCTCCCAGCACGGCTTTTTTTCGCAGTGGCGGGATTTACAAATCGGCGGGCGACCCCTTAATCCAGGGACGCGACCACTTGTGGGATGCAGCTGACGGACGGGGTAGCGGCGCGGCGGCGCGGCGGGGCGGCGGCAGAGAGACCGTGGCGAGGCTTAATGCGATCAGACGCGACACAGACGCAAAGCCATAAATATGTATAAAACATTACACGCCGATATCAAGCCGCCAGCCCACTGCACATCACGGCGCGGCACGCTCACACACACACATACATACGCACACAACACAACACATGCACACACACACACGCACATCCGCCCACACACCCACACATTGCCAATCTCTACCCCAGGCAGCACCCCACCCGGCCAAAGCCGCACCCTAATATTCTTTCCACCTTCCCCGCCCACGCGGCGCCTTCCTCCTGGCTTCGCCGACAAACTCACAGTTTTATGAGAATTTTCAACGGATATCTTCCGCCGAAAGTATACAGTGCAATGCGAAGCCGCGCGTTGCGGATTTAGGCGGTCCCCGGTTGCCAGGACGTCAAATGGGGCCGTTGTTTGAAGCTCAGCACGCAAAGTAGACGTGAAGCCACAATGCACCAGTGTTGAAAGGACGGCCAACCTCAGCCTGCGTGCTGGACAAATTTTCTAGTATTGCCTCGTCGGCTGGCTGTGGTTGGCGGCAACCCTTTTGACACTGCGGTAATTTTTTGCCTCCTGTCCGGCTGGACTCGGCCAAGGTAGCGTGTGCTAGCGTGCTGTTGTTGTTGTTGAGGAGCCGGCAATGAATAGAGACTTGGTATGCAGACGCCGGAAGTGAATTAGCCGCTGACCTAGTTCCAGGAGGCGCCGCCACGCAGCGCCACTCGTCGGTCACGCCAAAGGGCGGTAATTAAATTAGCAGCGCGGAAAAAGCGGTGTCGTGTCCACTAGCAAACAAAAACTACAAAGCAACAAAAAGCTCGGATCTCGCGTTGGCGGCGCCCGGTAACTTCATTGCAGCACTGCCGCAGAAATTGAACCACTGCGTTCGGCGAACTGGAAAGTGCCTCTCTCCGCGTTTCCGCATGCAGTCGGCTGCACACTGACGTCTCTCTCGCACTCGTGGGGCGTCCCGTCTGGGTGCGAGAGAGACAGAGCTCTCAGTCTGCTGCACACTGAACCGCCAGGCACTGTGAGCTGCGAGCGTGAAACGTTGCTACACACTTCTGCCACGAACGAAAACACAGCGAAGCGCCGAGGAAATTCGAGCCCTGTGGGCCAAGACTCATCTTGAAACACCAGATATCCTTTTCCAGAGCACTAAAGCCAGAGTCGAAGACTGCGCCAACACATCTATAGACACTGTTTGACACTGTTGATCACAACACTCCGCGCCGGTTCGGGCCGCCGCGGTCGCCGCCGCTCCCGCGCTCCCAACCGCTGGCCGCCAGCTCGGTCGGCCGGCCGGTCGCTGCCGTCAGCTGTCACGGCGCTCTCTGCGCTACGTGCCGGGTGCGTTCAAATTCAAACCCGGCGCAGACGCGACCCACCGACCCACCTTGGCCCGGCGACGACGGCCAACTACGGTAACCACCAAGACTAGAAATTCATTTGGCCGTGCCATCAGCCAGGAGAAATGCTTATTGTATTATTGCAATTTTTCGTAAACTGAAGTCGGTATTTCCGATGGTCGATTGTGGTCCATGTTTCTGATTAGTCGAAGCTTGAGTTTTTGTTCTTCTTGCTTTCTTATAGATACCCTGACCCCCTTTGAACTGCTGCTGGATGAAGATTAAAGCCGATTAAACGTTGAAGTTTTATTACGAGCTCTTCATCGAAGCCCATAGTCTCCTGAAACTTCTAATAATGCTTTCGGCCAGGACAAATGCTCTTGGCCGGTATGGTCCCGGCCAGGAGAAATGCTTTCGTCCTGGCGAAATGATCTCGGTGAGGACCGCTTGTACTCGCATGCAAATCGCCTCCCCGTCGAGCCCGCCCTGCTCGTCGCGGCTCGTCGAGGTGGCGGAGGCGCGGTCCTCCCCGAGGTCCTCCCGGACGTGGCCGACGAGGACGGCGAGGCCCCGGCCGCCATTGTCTGAAAGATGAGATCACCGCGAGGCCCGCGACGCAAGGCGACGCAAGGCGGGGGGTGGGGGTGCGGGGCCTAGCCTGCCCTGCCTGCCTTGCCCCAGGGGGCTGGCTGCAGGCTGCGGCCGAACTGCGGCGCCTCCCTGTCTCCCTCGCACCGTGCTTGCACCCCCGCGGCACGCCCTGCGAGTGCGAGAGAGACAGAGCGATGGTGATGGGAATGATGGCTGCGCACAACACACGTGCCGCCATGCCGCGGGGTCGCGCTTCGCGTGGCTTGGCGTGGCTTCGCGCCGAGGGGTGACTTCGGAAGCACCCTCTCTGTTCTCTGTCTGCGTCGCGCTCGTCGCGCTCGTTACCCGCCCAGCCGAGGGAGGCGGAAACGCCCGAACGCCACCCGAGCGCACTTCGGGGTGCTTCGGCGCCGCGGGTCGTCCCGGCTGCGCCCGCAGGCTGATTCCGAGAGTCGTTTTCGTCACTCTGTCTCTGTCGCACTCACGGGGCGTCCCGTATGGGTGCGAGAGAGGCAGAGCGGCGAAAACGACTCTCGGAATCAGTCTGCAGGCTGCGCCACGCTGCGCGCTCGGAATGAGATTCCGCGCGTAATCGCTTGTCGTCGTCATTGTTGCTCGCGTCGTCTGCTCATCGCGTCATTAGAGCCGCGCTGACCGTGACGAAGACAACGGCGGCGCTCCTCGTCGCACTGCAGGCACACTGCGGGCCGCCGCGGCGGAGGCAGCAGGAGCGGCTGGTACTCCCTGCAGGGGATGGCCATGAGGGGAGTGTCCCTGCCACCGCACTATCTGCCGAGCTGTTCCGAAGAGTCGTTCTGTCTCTCTCACACCCCTGTGCGCGGCAGCGCGGCGCCCCGTGAGTGCGACAGAGACAGAGCGACGAATCAGCCCGCCGGGCCGGCATTTGTTATCGCACCGATGGCTTTGTGCTATTTAGCCTCGGCGGCCATTATAACGGGCCGCGATTTGTGGCTTCCGCGGGGAGTCGAACCCGGGCCTCGGCCGCCTCGGCTTTGACCGCGTCCTCGGCCGGCTTCCTCTCCAACTCGGCGCACCAATTACGCTTCGACTTTGGAGGAAGTGACGTCACCGGCGAGAGGGAAGGGGCGTTCGGTTGGAATGTCGCGCCACAATGGAGTTGCAGGGGGGCAGTGGGCCGGCCGCCTGGCTTGCCTGGCTTGCCTGGCTTGCCTCGCTCCGGAGGATCGTTTTGTTCCGAGAGAGACAGGGCGACGAAACGATCCTCTGGAATGAGGCGGAAGTGGGTCAGAAGACCAGTTTACGAGGACAAAACTCGCCAAAACTGTCTGAGTACTAGAGGTCACCAAACACGACTCGAATCAAATACACCAGGGAGCTCTTTCAAAGGGGAATCCATTGGCATGTGTTCGGTTCGGGCGAAACTCGGGGACCATAGAGTGCAAAACGCGTCCAGAGGCGCAGGCCTCCGCCCCGGCCACGGTACACACCGCGAAGCGCGAGGAGCAGGTCTTCCTGCTCTTCCCTGCCTGCTTGGCCTGCACTGCAGGCTGATTGCGAGAGTCGTTTTCGTCGCTCTGTCTCTCTCGCACCTATACGGAACGCCCCATCAGAGCGAGAGAGACAGAGCGACGAAAGCGACTCTCGGAACCATCCTGCTGCTCCACGTCTGAGCCACAAATCACGGCTGCGGCCGGCTGCTTCGGCTGCCGACTGATTCCGCAGATCGCTCTCTGTCTCTCTCGCCCCCATGGGGCTTCCCGCATGAGTGCGAGAGAGACAGACGAAGGCTTCGGCTTCCGCGGCTCCGGCACACATTATAAAAGACAAACAGAGGATCTGTTGGAGATATATGAAGGGAAACGGCGGACGCGGGCGCACTGGCGCGGTGGCGCACACGGGGAGCTCTTGGGCTTTGTAGCAGCGGTCCGCCTGCAGGCCGCGGGCACGGCCTGGGGGAGGGCGAGCAGGACGAGGACGAGGGTGGCGGCGGCGCGCGGGAGTGACAGTGTTAATAGTGGAAAAATGGCCGGGCTTCACGCCGGACAGAGCCGGCATGGGGCAATGGGGCGGGCCAGCAGACTGATTCCGAGAGTCGTTTTCGTCGCTCTGTCTCTCTCGCACTGATGGGGCGTCCCCGTTAGGAGCGAGAGAGACAGAGCGACGAAAACGACTCTCGGAATCAGACGACAGCGAGGGGAGGGGAGTGAGGGGAGTACCGCGTTAGAACGCGAAGAGCGAGAGAGGGTCGTGGTCCTTGACGTCGCCGACGTCCGCCACTCGCGCGGGCCGCAGCGCCGCGGCCGAGCAGTCGCCCCAAATGGCACGAGAAGCGTCCTTTCCGCTCGGTGACTGCAGACTGGTTCCGAGAGTCGTTGACGTCGTTCTGTCTCTCTCGCACGTAACACGAGACACCCCATGAGTGCAAGAGAAACGGAGCGAAGGAAGCGACTCTCAAAATCAGTCTGCTGCATTCCGATTGCTCATTGTTCAGTTCATCCGATTGCTCAGGGAGGAGTTAAAATTAAAATTTCTTTCGTTCATGAAATTTAAAAAAAAAAAAAAATTTGTTTTAAACACCAGGGGTGACGTAGAAAAGGCGTGAACATGCTTTTTCAAGAATAATTCACATTAGCCGGGAAGAGACTTGGTGAGAGAATGTGGTGATAAAAGTCTCCATGTGCATTAGAGTATACTATAGGAGGACCCTAAAGTACAGTAGAGTCTAGGACTCTAAGTGCGGGGTGGGCTGAGTAATTTCTCATGGCGACTGTAGCCTGGCTCCTAGCGTGGGGGTAAGGCCGTTGCGATACTCCGTGGTGCTGGAGACTCTGAGCGGCGATACTCCGTGCAGAGAATTGGCGGCAGGACGCAGTGGTAAACAACAGTTTGTCAGCTGTTGCTCGCAAATTCTCCAGCATGTTTTGTGAAAAATCTCTGAAACTTATCAAGGAACTGGATCGTTCTCAGGAGGCTATGCCACCTTTTGATGTAAGTTGAAAGCTGTGCCAGTCCCACAGAAAAGTAATGACAGCTTTTGATGTGAAGAGTGTTTTTGCCCTGAGGTTATGCTTTCATATCAGTTATTAAATTGTCTTGCTATTCTTCGTTGCTAATATTCTTGTGTCTTGAATTTGTTTTGTGTTTTATGATTTAAGGCCTATTGTAGTTTAAATTTGTTTTTTCAGAATCGATTTGTCAGATGACAGCGTGATCAATCTGAGATGTACTGTCTCTTTACGTGTCAATTTACTTACACTCTACCACTGTCCGTTAGATATGCCTAACTGGGATTGAGAATATATATTTATATGTGCTTTTACAGGACGATGGAGTGAGACAAGTCTTTGAAGAAATGCGAGGCTTATATGATCAAAATGTGGCTGCAGCGTAAGTGTGTCTATTGCTTTTGATCTGTGCAAGTTAATACCAATAAACGTATAAATTCTAATAATGCTAGATTTTGTAGCAATGATACAACCGCTGATCCAGATGGAACTGCCATATCGGGTATAGCTATTAGACATGCAGCTCTTGAAAGAAACAAACGATGTCTATTAGCCTATGCGTACGTATATCAGTTTTCTTTTTGAAACAGTCCATCACCCACAATCTTAATTCCTTTAATTTTTTTTTTCCACAGCTACAATAGAATTCTAAGAGTAAGGAACATGCGTTGGCAGTTTGGACCAATTCTCCCCCATGACATCAAAGCAAATTTCAATGAACCAGAGGTACATTTGCAAGTTATGAGATCAGAATGCAATTGATATCAGAGCACCTCATCTGAGTTTCTGATGTGTTTTTTTTTTAGGTTCAATGGTTCAACAACTATAATATATGCGTTGCTCGTTACTTTAAGTCTATTGGTGCGCATGGCCTAGATCTTACTGCTGATGTGAAACCCCCAAAATCCCTGTATGTGGAGGTAAGTGAGCTCAGTTTTTGCCCTAAATTATGTGAACCAATCTTTTGAAACTGTTGCCAAGGGTTGTTTCTTATGCCACTTTTCTGTTGTAGGTTCGAAGTCTTACTGATTATGGAAAATTAGAACTGGACAATGGTGAAGTGGTACTTCTGAAAAAGCACAGTACCCATTTGATGTCTCGAGCTCAATGTGAACCACTCATTACACAAGGTGTACTTGAACAAATTAGTAATTAGTCAATTGAATAAAAAAGTGTATTTTCAAATTTGTTTACATAAAAGTATAAAACAAGAGCTGTCAAGGATGGCTTCTTTGAATTATGCTCTTGAGGATAAAAAACTAAACACTTGCCTTATGTGAAAAAGAAGTTATCTTTGGGCTTTGAATTGGACAATTAGAGGATCAAGAACATCAATGAAACAAAAGTATTGAGAAAGTAAAAACAGTTTTGAAAACATGCTTAGGAACCCCTAGTTGGGCCACTACTCTTTCTTTACTCCACGACGCTTGCGTCCCCTTGAAGGCCCAGGAGTAGGCTCTTCCTCCTCCTCAGCAGCATGTCCATTTTCTACTGCAGGAGACACGCTCCTTCTAGCTTGCCTCTTTCCTTTCTTCCTTTGACGGGTAGGTGTTTCATCACCACCACCATTCTCTGCTGCTGCTGCAGGATCCACAACCTCCTGGCATGAGGGGCATTTGTCGGGTTGGCCATTCCTTCGCTTGTTGAATGCCACATAGCAATGCCTATGATTGATTGCATTACAGTGACGACACTTAACTCCCTACAAGAGGAAACAAATACCAAATAACATGTGAACTCACTCAATAATTGCATTCAGTAAGTTGCCGGCATACTCACATAAAATACTACAGTATCACAAGTGCATTTTTGAACATAATCTTGAAAGTTTCTCTTAAAATATAAGTCAAATTCTCCAATACATCTCGGAGCTGGGACAAGTCGCCCATCATTCTACAAATAATGGTGAGAATACAAAGCGTGAATTAATGCAAATACTACCCCATGGACTATCGAAACTTGCACATTCAAACTTTAACAGTCAAAGATACTAACCGTTTCAACAAACCATTGGTCAGCCACGAGTTTATCAATTATGTCCTGAACATCTCCAGCTCGCATATTAGGAATACAGTTCAACGCCTCCATTGAAGAAAGTGTCCCATAGTTTTCATTCCTCACAATATTTTCTAGAAGCAGCCTGAAAACCTCTCTCTCTTTCACGGAATAGACATGATCAATCCTGTACAGAACAACGCAAGGAACAAATTATTAAAACGAGGCAAATATGGTAAAAGTTCATTTGCAGAGGAAGTGTTGAATTTCATACTTTTCCATTGTAGCTGAATCATCAATAAGATTAATAAAAACCAAAAATTCTTCAGAATTTGATTCCGCTTTTATTAACAGTAACTGTTGACCGAAGTCAGAGATCTTAGCATTGATTTCGTCGACTATTTCAATAAGCTCATTATCCTTAGCCTTATCACCAGGAAGTTGGTAACCTGAAATGAAGGAAACAACAAATTTATTGCAAGATCCAACAGTCACACAAGGATCGCAGGGGTCATGAACATTCAACAGCGATACTTACCACACAACTTAGACGTCTGAGCCAATAGTGCGCAGGCCGTTGTCTTGGATATAATGGCCCTGCTCATCATGGCTTGCAGAAACGTTCTGTGCAGATCATTGTACATAGCGTTCGCCATCTGAAAACGACAAAGCAAGAGTGCGAAATGCACCCAGCGAGACCAGATCGTTAGGACAAGTTGAGACCTGCATAAGGCAATGAGGCAATGATGCAAAGAGGCCCGGAGCGGCATACCGGGCATCGAGGTAAGTGGCACCTCTAAGCGTTCTGATTCTCAAAAACCATTAGCTCGGCGGACGCGACAGACTTCACTTTACCTTTCCGTGACGATTTTCCCGCTTGTCGGAGACGATTTCAACAACTATTTCCCAAAATTTTACAGGAAAATTTGAGTTTGTTCCCTCTTTGGTGCACTCCCACCATATTCGACAGTGCTACCAAGCGTTCCCGTTTAGACTGAAGTTTGTCTCTCCAGTCGTGATTGAAAGCAAATGAGTGAAAGGCGGGATCCGCTTCGATTTATTGTCCAGTAAAATTGTTTAAATGTTGGAGTTAAATGTCAAATTGCAGGTTAAACGATCGGTTTGGCCGCATTTCTGCGGGGCGGCGTCGCGACGCGGCCTGTTGGGTTGCCACCGTGGAGGCGTCCTTGTTGTTGTTGGTGTTCTTGCTCTTTGTTTCGCAGCAGCAGCCACATCCAGTTTTCGACGCTGTTTTCTCGGTTTTCCTCCAAAACACTCTTCCCCGAGTGACGAAATCGGTGCCTTTCCCTCGGCCGGCTCTCGGCGCACCCGCTGGCGTTTCCACCGACCTTCCTCGCGGCAAGGTAAATATTTCTGTCGATGGTTTGAACACCCCTTGGAGCCTGGACGGCACCAAACATCAACTGATGCCCACGAACGATTCGGCCCACTCCCTCCGATTTTCGGGGCAGTTCCCCTGAAGCCAGTCGGATTTTCGTCCCTTCGCGTCCGTTTCGTTTGCGTTGCTCTGTTTCTGTCGGGCGTCCTTTTGCGCTGAGAGTGTTCTTGATGGATTCAAAGGACTGCCATAACCTCGACTTCGCGTCTGTGTTGGGTACTTCGCTTGCGTTCTCATTTGGCCCAGCCCGAACCACAGTCCAACGCAGACAAAAATTTTCGGCTCGTTTTTGGTGTTTTTTTTTAAGGTCTGCATTGCTTTGATGAGTGCCATTGACTTGCCATTCACTGGTGAAAAAAAGTGCTTTGGTTGAGCTTTTGTCCGTTTCCCTCAGAAAGAGAAAAAGCTTTTTATTTAGACAAGACAACTTATTTGTGGCTTTTACACTGAGAGGGTTCATTTGGTCTTGTATTGCTATTCAAGTTAATTTTGAGGACATTTTTTTTACCTAGTTTGTAACAATACATTTCTTCTAGTTTCATATGAAACTGTCATTAGTAGTTTGGATCTCTCAATTGAGAATGCAATCCAGTACAACCAATACTATTTGTGTGGAAGTGCTATGGTTGACAACGGCATGTTGGTAATAGAGTGGTGCGCAGATGCCATTCACGATTGAGTAGAGGGGGTGGTTTATTTCTAATGTGAAGCTCAGTTTCTTCAGATGACTGCGACTTCTAATCAGTTTCTCATTGTTTCTCCTGTGCATTCGGAGTGCCTTTTTAGGATACGCTCGATGCATGATGGCCAAGCGTGCCCGAGGATGTAGATAGACGGACTAGGGCGTGAAGCAGGCAACCCCTTCGAGTGGGCAGTCACTGCAGGCTGATTCCGAGAGTCGATCGCACCTGCACGGAACGCCTCACGAGTGCGAGAGGGACAGAGCGACGACAACGGCTTTCGGAACCAGTCTGCCGGGTGAGAGGGTGGACGTGGCCGTGGCCGTGAAGGCTGTGGTTGGTAAGGCACCTCTCTCTGTCTCTCTTCTGCCGCCGCCGCAGGTGAGCGAGAGCGAGAGGGGGCGAGTTTCGGAAGGCCCCACAGGTGCAAGGGGGCGTGGCGTGGCGTGGCGTGGCGTGCCGCGGGGTGCGTGGGAAGCGAGCCGTGCCGGTGTGGCCGGCCTCTCTGTTTGTTCCCGCCGCCGTTTTCCATTTTTCCCTTTTTCTTGTTGTTGGCCGCTCGCGGGTTTGTCCCTTGATTGCCCTCTAACAGGCCTTACGGGTGTTGTTGTTTTTGGCTGGCGCTTCCGCCTTGAGGGCGCCGAGGGCTCCGAGGGCGCGCGACGGGGGAAACCCGGCCGGTTTCAAAAAGGGGGCGGTGCTTTGTCGCGAACCGGAAGAGGGGGGAGGGGTGCATGGCGTGGCGTGCCTAGGCGTGCCTGTCCACGTGTAGGCACGTGCAGTGTATAGGGCTCAAGGTTGCCGAAGGGCCCGAAGGGACAACGCGCTCCATTAATTCCCAAATCATCGCCATGATTGGTTTTGTTTTTAGCAGATGATACGTTCACGTATCAGCGTGCTTGTACTCTCGTGCAGAGAGTACCGAGTTTCCGGCTAGCCAGGCAGGAGTTGCCTCGTTGCCTGACTAGCAAGCCTAGAAGAGGCCGAGCGCCTCGCTGGCAAGGCAGCGGCTGGCTGGCCTGCCTAGAAGATTATGAGCGGAGGGCCCTCAGCGTGCCGCGCCGCGCCGCGCCGCGCCGCGCGTGCCGTCGCCCGCCGTCGCCCGCCGCTCATGGGTCGGGGCGCCTGCGGGGGCTCGGGTTGCGCGCGCGGCGTATAACCTCGACACCCAGCTCTCTAGTACTCATGAAGTGCGTCCCTCGCGTTGCGCGTCGTCACGAGACGCAGCTAGCACGCATCGCGTAGCTGCCCCCCTCGCCCATTCCCTTGCCGAGACGCCACGTCCCGCCGCGCCCCGCCACACCCCGCAGCAGTCTACACACACACGCACTTGAGCCTTGAGTGCGTAGAACGCATAGTGCAGCGCCCCCCCGAACCCCTGCCCCTCTCGAGAAGCGGCGCGTCGGCAGTCGGCAGTGTGCGCCACTCTTGCTTATCTATCTTGAGGTCGGGTTCGGGTGGCGCGCCGGCCGGCTGGCCCCGCTTGGAGATGTAGCTGACACGCCGCGTGCCGCAAGGGGCCTTGCCCTAGTACCGAGCACAACTTTTACGGGTATTGAGTATTTATGTGATTAGCCACCAAATTGTGCTTCCTCGCGTTGAAACAACGAAAATGATACCCAACACAAGTGGTATCCGACATATGAGTGCCCCACCGTCATTGCGAACATGTTTAACACAAAACAATGGCACGTTAGGATATTCAAAAGTTATACTAAGATTGACATTTCCATGAATTACCATGTGTAACAAATTTGTCTAAAAAAGAGTTCCGAGTGTTTACTCTTTGAAATAAATTGACAAAATGTCACATTCATACATTGAAATAAACATTCTCATAAGTATCATCTGCTTTCACGTTAGCGTTAGCGTTAACGTTTTTTAGTTTCCGTGTGCCGACCCGGCGAGACCGGACGAGACTGCGAGTGCCTTTGGTTGCGCTGTCGCCCGGTCTGTCATTTTAAAGCGAAGGGTAGTCATTACGGCGAGGGTTTCGCGCTTCCGGCCCAAGGGTCGCTTGCCCTACGCGGTCGCTTTCCACCCTGCCAGTGGGCCAGAAGACCGGTGGAGCCGCCCAAAACTCCAGGCGCGTTCTGAGCTCCGGAGTCGCTAAATGGGACTCGAACCGAACGTGTGACCCCACCTATGGATTGCTCTCCGAACGAGGAATCCATTGGTGGGGTCACACGCTCGGTCGGAGTCCCATTGAGCGACTCTGGAGCTCAAAACGCGTCTGGGATTTTGACCGCCTCCTACGGTCTTCCGTCCCACTGTGCAGCCCTTCAGCCGCACCTCTACCCCCGTCCGGCCCGCCCCGGCCGAACGAAGCCAATCGAAATGCCAGTCAGGCTAAAGGGCCCGCAATGGATCCGGGCCAAACTAGCCCAATCCATTGCAAGTTACACTAGGCTCACAGGCAGTCCAAATGAAAAAGAAACACCTCAATTTGTGCTTGGTGATTGGGCGTGCTACTTAAAATTAAGCTGGATAAATAATTTTAATTAATGATATAGTTACACTTAAATCAGAGCCAATACTAAAAGACACTTGAAAGCGTCAGCTTGCTCTTTTTCCTTCTTTTTTTTAAATTTTTTGCCGTCGTGTGGTGGGGGGCAGGACAATCGTGTGATTCATCGAGTGCAGGGTCGCGGGCAACTATCTTAACCCTTTGTTTCCTTACCCCGTCCTCAAGTTGACTTTGCGCCGGCCCCGGGGGGGGGGGGGCAGGGGAGGGAGAGGGGAAGGGGCGGCGGCGTGGACATGGACGCGGCCGCAGCAGGATGGGAGGAGAGGCTTGAGGCAACTCATGCTTGCCGTCGGCGTGCCTCGGCGTGTCGTCGGCTTGCCGATTAGTTTCAATTGCTGGAATGGACGGTCGCGAGACGCTGGCGCGGCAGGCGCGGCCCGCGCGGTCGGTGCCATGCTTGCAGTTTGGCACACTGCATGCGGCCGGACGGACGGACGGGTAGGGTACCCATCGGGTAGCGTTCGGGTGGGTAGCACTCGGGTGGCCCCAGGGCAGCACTCGGGCAACACTTGGGCACCACTCGGTAACTAACTTTAACACTCGGGCATCACTCGGGCAGCACTCGAGCTCCACTCGAGCTCCACTCGAGCTCCACTCGGGCATCACTCGAGCATCACTCGAGCATCACTCGAGCATCACTCGAGCATCACTCGAGCATCACTCGAGCATCACTCGAGCATCACTCGAGCATCACTCGAGCATCACTCGAGCATCACTCGAGCATCACTCGAGCATCACTCGAGCATCACTCGAGCAGCACTCGAGCAGCACTCGAGCATCACTCGAGCAGCACTCGAGCAGCACTCGAGCAGCACTCGGGCATCACTCGAGCATCACTCGAGCATCACTCGAGCATCACTCGAGCATCACTCGAGCATCACTCGAGCATCACTCGAGCATCACTCGAGCATCACTCGAGCAGCACTCGAGCATCACTCGAGCAGCACTCGAGCAGCACTCGGGCAGCACTCGGGCAGCACTCGGGCTCGGCCCAAGCACGGCTCGGGCAGGCGGCGTGTGCTTCTCATTGATAATGAAGAAATTAGTGAATTAAGAGAATCCATAGCGGCGCTGCTCCGCGGCCCGTAGTACAGTGGAAGCTGATTCCCGGCAATGAGAGTGGCACGGCGCGGCGCGGCGCGGTGACACAGCCGGCCGATGAGGGGGCGGGGCCGGCTGTCCGGCCGACTTGAAATTCGGGCTCATTCGCGACCTTCCCAATTCACCGGACCAAGAAAAAAGAGAAAGAGTCTTTTTTTTCACATTTTTTCATATTTTTCGTTTCCCTTTTCCTTCTTTTCAAATCCCCACCGCGTTGTGCGTGTACGTTCGTTTTCGTTTGTAGTGCTTCCAATCTCGCGCGCAACCCTTTCCCTTCGCAGGGGGGACCGCAACGTTGTGTTGTTGTGCGTGTCTGCGTTAGTGTGCGTGTGTGTGTGTGTGTCGGTGGCCCCCGCGGCTCTGCTCCTGGGCCCCTGCCCCCGGGCCCCTGCCCCCGTGGGCCCCCTAGCCAGCTAGAAGGGTACGATGGTGGGGGTGCCGGCGTGGCTGCATGGCTCTGCGCGGCGGCGCGGCCCGCCCGGCAGGGGCACGGCCTGCTTCGAAGCCGCCTGCTGCTCCGTCCGCGCTCCGCCCGCTCAGTTGGTTCCTAACCGCAGCGCAGCCACGGCCGCGTCGTTCTTGGCGTCGCCGCCGCACTCTCCTCTCCTCCGCCACTAGCGCGCGTCTTTGTATGTGTGTGTGTGTCTGTGTGCGCTGTTGTTGTCGGTGTGCCTTGTGGATTACGCCTCGCCGCATCTAGCGCATCGTGACGGAGGTGCCGGCGACCCAGGTACACTGGCAGCACTAGCAGTGTAGCGCCCACGTGGACGGCCGTGTCAGTCAGACGGACGGACGGACAGACAGTCAGTCAGACAGACAGACAGACAGACAGACAGACAGACAGACAGGCGTGCGGGTGCACGGGCAGTAGTTGGTGGCAACAGCTGGGTCGGCGGGTCCTGGACGACGCGACCGAGGTGTCGCCGGGCCCGGCGGCGTGAGCGGCGTGAGGCCCCGCGGCCCGCGGTGGGGGGCGTGGCGGGGCGGGGCATGGCGGGGCGCGGCGGGGCGGGGCGGGGCAGGGGAGGGAGGGGGCAGCCGCGGAGCCGGAACCGTGGCCCGCAAGGTGCCAATGATAGCGGGTCGAAAAAAATTCCGCCCCCTTGCCGGTGGACGAACTTGCGGCGGGCCCCGTCGCCTTGTTTTGTAGTGCACTCACGCAGTGCACTCACGCAGTGCATCGCGGAGACGACGACGCACAGTGGGCCAGCAGACCGGCGCCGGCTAAGTAGGACCCGAACCGAGCGAGCGACGCCACCAAGGGATTGCTCTCCGAACGAGGAATCCATTGGTGGGGGTCACACGTTCGGTTGTCCCAACTAGCGACTCTGGAGCTCAAAACGCGTCTAGGGTTTTGGCCGCCTCCACCGGTCTTCTGGCCCACTGTGCGGTGTGGTAGTTGGGGTCGCCGGCGTGCATCTTCACCGTGCTCTGCAGTGCCGGCCCGGCCGCACAAATAGAACGGGCTGCCCATGGCTAGACCCATGGCTAGACCCATGGCCGGGCCGCGGCCCCGCGGACTGAACGCTTCGAAACCGACTTGGCCAAAAGAAAAATAAAACAACGAATAGCGTCAAATGTGAAAACTGGTGGACATTTTGCACACACGCTCGCCGCCTAGGGCTGCGGCTCCTCACTACTCACACCCTGAAAAGCAAGGAATTGGCCCTACTACCAGTGGACCAGCGCTGGACCGGGCGACGCTAGGTTCAAGGACGGCGGCGGCGGCGCGCCGCGCGCACTCCAGCGGCCATTTGCGGAACCTGCCCGACTTTGGACCTCTCTAGCTATCGCCGCAGCAGACTGATTCCGAGAGTCGTTTTCGTCGCTCTGTCTCTCTCGCACTCACGGGGCGCCCTGTGTAGGTTCGAGAGGGACGGAGCGACGAAAACGACTCGCATTGCGGTCCATGGCCCTCTACCAGCCCCTCGGAGCACAGTGGGCCAGAGGACCGGCGCCGGCGGCCGAAACTCTAGACGCGTTTTGAGCTCCAGAGTCACAAAACGGGACTCGAACCGAACGTGTGACCCCACCAATGGATTCCTCGTTCGGAGAGCAATCCATTGGTGGGGCCGCACACGTTCGGGTCGAGTGCCTTTTAGCGACTGTGGTGCTCAAAACGCGTCAAGAATTTCGGCCGCCTCCACCGATCATGTGGCCCATTGTGCGGAGCCCTGCTGTCCGCTGAGGCAGTGTAGGCGAAAGACACTAGTTAAGGTATTTGCATACCTGTCGGTGGCAGTCTGACACCACCGCGGACCGCGGCGTACATCGCCAAAAATCAAAAAATGAAAAGCGTGGAAAAACAAGCGGCTGGACACGGTACTGCAAGTGTGTACTAAAGTACAGTATGGCGCTGCACTCGCTAGAACACCGCGCGCGCGGCGGGAACGTGTTGTATGCAGCGGCCCGGCTGCACTGTCAAAAAGCCGCCCACGTTCGTTATCTCGCGGCTCTGCTGTCTTAGCCAGCAGCAGCTGTGTCGATTGGGAGCCAAGAAAATGGGAATACAGGGACAAATTATTTTTTGTAACCTTGATCAACAGTAATTTTTGGTTTTTCTACTTATTTTTTTCCTTAATTTTGTTTTACTTTTCATGTTTTTGTTTTCCTTGACGCGAGTAGTGTGTGCTTACTGCAAGATGCGAGTGCGCCCTGCCATGCCGGCCCTGCCGGTGCCGGGCCTGCCGGTGCGCATGACGCGGTGTGACGCGCTGCACGCACTTGCAGTGCACCGCGCTGGCCGCGCGCCAAGAAGGCAATGTCAATCAAGCCGCGCTGCTGACTGATTCCGAGAGCCGTTTTTGTCGCTCTGTCTCACTCGCCCTCGTGGGGCGTCTCGGATAGGTGCGGAGACAGAGCGACCAAAACGACTCTCAGTGTGCTGCCCTTCGCTAGAGTCCCTTCAGAAGCCGGATCAGCCGGCGGCGCGGCGAGCGGGGCCGTCTCTCTCGGGCCGCCACGGAACGCGCACCGCGAGTGCGACAGAGACAGAGCGACGCCCCCTCGGCCGCCGGTTAGCGGAAGATATTATCGGGAGGATGTTTGGCGAAGTACAGTCGCGGACTCATCGGCCAATTAACAAAGCCCTTTTCCGCTCGGGCTAATCTGGCTTGCCACGCTCCGCTCCACTTTCTTCACGCCCCGCGCGCCCTCAGTCTATCTCTCTCCCTTCGCGTTGCTCTGTCGCTCTTTCAGCACTGCCTACGGCGGACTCTCCACACTGTAAAAATAAGGCGAATGTTCGGGCCGTAGACTGGTTCTGCAGCCACCTACGAGTGCGAGAGAGACGGCAAAGGCGTGCGGGGATTTGGGCTGCACCGTAGCGCCGTGCTGGGTAGGCCGCCCGTCGGCCGCAACGCTCTCGTGTTCCGCGGCACGGCCTACCTTGCCCCTGCGCGCGCCGCGCCGCCGACTACGACACTGGAGGAGGATTAGCGCCCCCAGACAGACAGACAGACAGACAGACAGACAGATCGATCCAAATGATTGAATGCTTGTGCGTTTCTAATGGCGTTGTCTGTGTTTTGCAGGTCGCACCGCTCACCCTTCCGGATCCTTCCTCAGTCCAGGAGGGACCTAACTCGGTGCTCATCTTGCACTTCCCCGGTAAGCGCCCCGAAAGCAGCGTCGACACGTTCAGTTGGAGTCCCATTAAGCGACAGTGGAGCTCTAAACGCGTCCGGTATTTTGACCGCCTCCACCGGTCCTCTGGCCCACTGTGCCGACGCGCTGCAAGGCCAGTCACCTTCACTTTCCGCGGCGCGTATTGGCGGGGCCCTGCAGTTGCGTCACGCGGGGGGGAGGGGGAGGGATGCATGTGAGGAGGCTATATTTAAATGGGGAGTCGTATCCTATCGACCCCCACCTTCATGAGCCTACCGCCGCCCCCCTCCCCCCTCTCGCGGGGGTCTCAAAGAGGAAAGAGGCATTTGCTTGTCTCTTTTTTTGTGGTGGCGTGAAGAGGGAGAGGGTGGAGTGGGTGGAATGTATCGAGGGATTGGTCGTTCCGATACGTGCCGTGCCGAGCCATGCCGAGACCGTCTCCTCGCTTCGATTCATTACCTTATCTATCGGCAAGCGTGCAAGGCCTGCAAGGGCTGCCTGCTTGCCGCACACCTCTCTCTCTCCTCTCTCTCTCTCCCCCTCTCTCTCCCTCTCTCCTCTCTCTCTCTCCTCTCTCCCTCTCTCTCCCTCTCTCTCCCTCTCTCTCCCTCTCTCTCCCTCTCTCTCCCTCTCTCTCCCTCTCTCTCCCTCTCTCTCCCTCCCTCTCTCTCTCTCTCTCTCTCTCTCTCTCTCTCTCTCTCCTCTCTCTCCTCTCTCTCTCTCTCTCTCTCTCTCCCTCCCTCCCTCCCTCTCTCTCCCCTCTCTCTCTCTCCCTCTCTCTCTCCCTCCCTCTCTCCCTCTCTGTCTCCCTCTCTCTCGCACGCGCGCCGCCTGCATGCTGCGAGACATGTGGCCGTGATAAGCGCGCACCTTGGCCTCGGTGTCTGTCTGTCTGCCTGTCTGCGTGAATGTCTGTCTGTCTGTCTGTCCGTCCGTCGATGACTCACTCAGGCAGACTAGACTTGAATCTTCGCGACCCTAAGCCTCGCGTCGTTCGAAGAAGCTTTAATCGTTGTGTACAATCTAGGCATATCTGTGTGTGCGTGTGTGAGGGGGAGCTACTGTGTTAGCGCGCTTGCTTTATGCTGTGTGTGTGTGCACTTGGCGCCGAAGCGCAATGTACCCGCCGGGGGGGTGGTTCGTCGTGGGGGTGGTGCGGCCGTTGTCAAGGTCGGCCCGCCCCCGCGCCCCCGGCCCTGCGCCTACCCCCACACGCCGCCCCCGCCCCCGACGTCGCAGGAGTCGTTGTGCTAGGAGGTCATGGACTCGGCGTCCTCCAGCCCCCGCCCCGCCCCCCGCTGCCGGCGCCGCGGACTTCCTCGGCGTCGCACAGTGGGCCAGAAGACCGGCGGCGCCGGCCGAAACTCTAGACGTGTCTTGAGCTCAAATGGGACTCGGGCCGAACGTGTGACCCCAACAATGGATTCATGGTTCGGAGAGGAAACCATTGGTGGGGTCACACGCTCGGTTCAAGTCTCATTGAGCGACTCTGGAGCTTGAAACGCGTCCGGAGTCTTGACCGCCTCCACCGGTCTTCTGGCAAAGTGCTTGGCCGTGCCCGAGGCCGTGCCGGGCTTTTGGCGGCCGCGCCATAGAGTGCCATGAGCGCCGTGCTCTTGATTGAGCGAGGAGGCGGATGGCGACGTCGTGCCGGCCGGCGGCCCTCTGCAGACTCACTGGTCGCTCTGTCTCTCTCGCACCTAGACGGCACGCCCCGTGGGTGCGAGAGAGACAGGCTGAGGCGGCTGGCCGGCCGGCCGCGTTGCCGCCGCCTCCGCGACGCACGTGTCTGCGGCCGCGCGGCGCTGCCACATCGCCGGCAGACGCCGCGACGCGCCGCGACGCCAGCAGACGACGCCGGCGAACCGCGGCGACGCGGACCGAACCGCGGACCCTCCGCACGCGGGGCGGACTCGCTGGTCGCTCGGCCACGGCGGGGTGGCCTTGCCTGGCCTTGCCAAGGCTGTGCGAGTGACCCTCGGAGTGACCTCGATGGCCGCGGCGGTTGTTAACACGATTGGGGACGGCACGGCAGGGCGGCAGGACCTGCGAGGGGAGGCCATACTGCGTGGGGCGTGGCGGGGCGTACAGTGGGCCAGTATCCCGGACGCGTTTTGAGCTCCAGAGTCGCTGAATGGGACTCGAACCGAACGTCGACCACAGCAATGGATTGCTGTCCGAACGAGGAATCCATCGGTGGGGTCGCACGCTCGCTTCGAGTCCTGTTTCGCGACTCTGGAGCTCAAGGCGCGTCTAGAGTTTTGGCCGCCTCCACCGGCATTCAGGCCCACTGCGGGTCGGGCGGCGTGGGGCAGGCTGCGCCCTGGGCTCCGCTACGCGCTCCGCGGCCACGGCGTCGTGGCTGAACCAATATCCGGGGCGAAAGCCGAAACCAGAGATCGCGCATGATGGATGGAGGGACGGCATGCAGGATTTGCTAGTGTCGCTTCCTCCAGGCTCATTGCCCTACATTGTGCCGCCGGGCAGGCCTTCCTTCGAGGAGGGCAAACAAACACAGAACACTGTTCGGTTTCCTCGCACGTTTTTTGGTGCATGCATTCCGTTCGGTGTGCGTGTTTGTCCGTTGGAAAATTCTCGCCCGTGTTTAGCTTTTAATTTAAGCCGCGTTTGCGACAGCTGCTCTGCGTGGTTCGGGTTCGGAAGAGTGGTCCGTCGCTCGGTCTCTCTCGCACCTCTACGGAGAGCCCCATGAGTGCGACAGAGACAGAGCGGTTTGTCGCTAGGTGCGTCGCGAGGGGCTTGTGGGACTCGCGGGGGTCGTTTGCGAGCGGGTAGCGCGCTTGGCGCACGCGAAGCGCGAGGCCCAGCGCAGCCCAGCGAAGCCGCGGTGGGGACGAGCTCTGTAATGTACACGAGGAGCACAGGCATATTCATCTGCTGTCGTTTTAAAAATTGGCGCCTTGGCAACGCTTTATACGCTGAGTAGGCGGCTGCGTCTTCTTATATTATTTTCTGGTGGCGCGGCGCAGGGTTTGTGCTGACTGGCGCGGGGCGTGGGGCCCGCCAGCCAGTCAGCCAGCCAGCCAGCCCAATGTCAACGAAAGTGGGTTGCGCGGGAAAATTCGAACCGCGACGAACGCCCGCCAATGCGTTGATCCGGAAGTACCGTGGCGTCGCGTCGCGATGGGCAGACGCGTCGCATAGCTTGGGCTGGCCTAGCCTGGCCTAGCCTGGCCTAGCCTCGCCTAGCCTCCTCTAGCCGCGTCTACACTCAAAATATGGGGTGCCCAGCAACTGGGTGCCTTTGTCGCCCGCCCCACTTTTTAGGGTGCCAAATGTCGCCCAGTTTCTGGGCACCTTTGTCGCCCAGTCTCGGGGTGGACAAATCATACAGTAACCGACCCTCTCCCATGGTAGAGCATGCTGAGGTGTCTAGATCCTGGGCGACTAAGGTGCCTAGATTCTGGGCACCTTCGGCACCTCAGTTGCTGCTGAGCCATGGGTGAAGGCAGGTTTCTTAATGGTTTGTCCACCCCGAGACTGAGTGACAAAGGTGCCCAGGAACTGGGCGACATTTGGCACCCTAAAAAGTGGGGCGGGCGACAAGGGCGCCCAGTTGCTGGGCACCCTACATTTAGAGTGTAGCCTCGCCGCCAAGCCCGCGCGTTGTGCCCCGCCGGTCCGCGACCCCGATTATCGAAACCCTCTTATGTCAGAGATAAGGCCTGCACCAGCTGCACTAGCACGGCGACGGGGCTGCATTCTGGGATGGATCAGGAGAACGCCTCGTTGGCTGCTGTTGTTGCTGTTGTTGTTTTCCGTCCGTCGTGCGTACTGTGCGTAGTGCAGGCATGCAGTGTGGTGGTTTGAATCGGGCTGCAGCAAGGCGCCATCGCCGCCGCCGCCTTGTTTACTTACAGCAGTCAGCTGGCGGGGGCGGGGGGAGGGAGAGCATGCAGGGCCAGGGACGCACATGCAGTGAGGTGCCAGGTGTCTGTCCGTCCGTCCGTCTGTCCCATTGACAGCCACTGCACCGTGTCCTCGCCCGGACATGTACGCGCCGTGCCTGGCCGTGCCGCGGTGCCTTGAGGAAGGGCAGAAGCACGCCAGCCGAGTGCCGACGTGGCGTTCATTAAGTGAGCACCGCTTGACAGTGCGGTGGGCGTGCGCTCCTGACCATCCCCACTGGGCACTGGGCGTCCCACGGCCGGGTCGGGCTAGGCCGGGCCGGGGCTGGCCGGGCCGGGGCTGGGGTCAACCGCGCCGCCGCCGTTCCGCGTTCAGTGCTCGGTCGCGCCGTCTCCCTCGCACCCCCGCGGCCCCGCGGCCCTGCGGACGGCCCCGCGGACCGCCCCGCGAGTGCGAGAGAGACCGGCCGCCCCGTCGTCGGGCTGACTTATGGGCAGCGATAAGCGAGTGCATCCCATCCTCGCACCTTTGGGCCCCGCGGCCGCCGAGGAGGCCGCCGACGCCTCCCGCAGGAGTCCTTGACCCACCAATGGGGCTCCCTAGCTAGCCAGCCAGGCCGCTGGCAGTGGCAGCCCAGACCCGGCCCCGGCCGGCGGAAGAGAAATTTACCGTTAGTCGGTGCGAGGTCCAGGGAAATGTCGCGTCGACAAGGGAAATTTCCCGTTTACGTCTGGCTGGACGGGTGCCAGCCCAGACAGTAGACCACGATGAAGGCTGATTCCGAGAGTCGCTTTGTCTCTCTCGCATTCGTGGGGCGTCCCGCACAGGTGCGAGAGAGGCCGAGTGACGAGAACGACTCTCGGAATGGGTCTGCAGGGCGCAGGCAGGTGGACGCCGGCGACGCGTCGCGCGGCAGGACTCGATCCTGATCGGGAGGCACCCTGCCCTGCCGCCTCTAGGCCCTGCCAGCAGCTGTGTTGCCCAACGCGACGGCCGTGTTTGTGTGAGTGTGTGTGTGTGTGTGTGTGTGTGTGTGAGTGCGTTCGTGTGTGTGCGGTGTGTGTGAGTGTCCGGCCGGGCCGACGAACGGAATGGGGCAGTTTGGACTCGACAGCTTTCTGGTGGTCCGCCTTGATGGGCCACTGTCCCCTCTGTCCATGCGGGGCGCTATTCCTTTTCCTCGCCCCGCCCGCTGCAGACTGATTCCGAGAGCCGATTCCGTCTCTCTGTCTCTCTCGCACTCAGGGGTCGTCCCGTGCAGGTTGCGAGAGAGACGGAGCGACGAAAACGACTCTTGGAATCAGTCTGCTGCTCGTCGGCATGGTCCTCTGCATGGGGGCTGCGCGGGCTGTGTCCACTGTTGTCCCTCCTCCTCATGATGCCGGTTGAGTCCGTCCCGTCGTCTCCTCCCCCGGCATGCCGCCCGGCAGCCCGGCCGCTCGGTGACTTCATTTACGCTCATTCCGGCGTCCGCGTCTCGGACGCCTCGGACGCCGTTGCCATGGCGGCCCCGCGGCGGCGGCGGCGTCCGCCTGCAGACTGATTCCGAGAATCGTTCTCGTCGCCCTGTCTCTCTCGCACTCATGGGGCGTACCGTATACGTGCGACAGAGACAGAGCGACGAAGACGACTCTCAGTGTGCTGCCTGCAGGCCGTCTCGCTCGCTCGCTGGGGCAGCCGGAAGGGCATCATGGCGGTGCGACGGAGGCGGAGCGGCCAAGACGAAAGCGCGCTTCGGAGACGGCCTGCTGCGCTGCTGCGTCGTCTGCCGGCGACCCTGGCAGCCAATAGCGGCGCGACGCGGCGCGACGTCGTGGAATGTTTGGGCTGCGCCGCCGCACCGCCGCCGCACCGCTGTCGCCCCCGGCGCGGGGGAGGGGGAGGGTTGAACGAGTGCCTGCCTGGCCCAGGCCTGGCCACCGCGCCGACGCACCGGGTCTAACCGAGGCATCCGCGGGCCGGGGTCAGCCGGCCAGCCTTAGGGCGGGGTTGTCGGGGGCCGCCGAGGCCGGGGGTCGGGGCTAGGTGGAGGTAGGTAGGATATGAGGGTGCGGGAGCGGAATGCTGGGGTTGTGTGTCCGTCGCCTGCCTGCACTAACGTCGGCCTGCCTCTCATCCCCTTCAGGTATGCCGGGGCAGAGGAAGCGACCGCGCTTGGACGCGGGCTCGGACGCGGGCTCGGACGCGGGCTCGGGGGTGGGGGAGGGTGGCGGCGACGACGCGGTGGCCGACGTGGTGGCGGTGCTGGCGGACGAGCTGCTGGCCGCGGTGCCGCTCGCCGACTGCCACGTGGGCGTCATCGCGGACCCCAAGCACACGTCGAGGCTGATCCGCGCCCTCAACGACGCGCACCCCATCCCCACGCTGCAGCACTTGAAGCGCGTCCGCCGGCGCGCGGGCCCGCCCGTCCGCTTCGAGGTGCTGCTGGCCCCCGCCGAGGACTTCGCCTCCGGGGCCGACTGCCTGTCCGCGCTGCGGGCGGCGGGCGTGGACGCGAGCGGCCTGGACGCCGAGACCGTGGTGGCCTCCGTGCCCGCGGCGCCGCCCCGCACCCGCGCACAGTTCGCCGCGGCCAGCGAGCACTGGGCCTGCAACTTCCACGAGGACGCCGCCCTGGAGAAGCTCATCGCCGGCACCGCGTTCGACGACGCCGACCTGGACAAGCACCGGCGCTGGATGCGGCGCGCGGGCGGCGCCGCGCAACGTGGCCGCGGCGTCGTCGCCGGCGCCGTGGTCGTGGACCCCGCCAGGGACGCCCTCGTGGCCGAGGCCGCCGACTGCCGCGGCGTGCACCCGCTCCGCCACGCCGCCATGAACGCCGTGGACTTGGTCGCCTGGTCGCAGGCCGGCGGCGCGTGGCCCGTCCAGGACGGCGACGTGTACGACGAGGACCTCCCCGACAGGCCGCCGCCGGTGGGCACGGTCCGCAACCGCCAGGACGCCGTCGACGACGAGAAGCCCGTGGGGCCGTACCTGTGCACGGGCTACGACGTGTATCTGACCCGGGAGCCGTGCACCATGTGCGCGATGGCCCTGGTGCATTCCAGAGTGCGGCGGGTCTTCTACTCGGTGGCCGCCCCGCACGGCGTCCTGGGCTCGGCCGCCAAGGTGCACACCGTCCGCGCGCTCAACCACCACTACCAGGTGTTCAGGGGCCCGGCCTGCTCCGCCAGCGCCAGCCCAGCCTCCTGACCTCGGACTGCACTCTGCACTCGGACTGCACTATCTCTCTGCAAGCTGGTCTTGCCGCCGTGCCGCCGTGCGTGTACTTGTCTGCTTGCCATCAATAAAACGCTTACTGCTCGTGTTTCTGTCCAGTTGGTTCGTTGGTCACGCAAACACCTTTTCCTCTTGGACCTGGAACGGGGGAGGGGACGGCGGTTTACACGGCAACAGACACGTGCGTCGTCTGTCGGTGGGCTTTCATTGTCCGCGCTCAGCGCACTTGGGCCTGTCTGCAGCGTCGTCATCGCTTTGAGAGGCCTCCGCAGGCTGGACGCCGAACAGCAGACGAACCCGGATGCAGCGCTGCCCGGCCGAGCGCCGAGCCCGCGCCCGCCGCTACGGATCCTCATGTCCAGTAGACTGATTCCGAGCGACGAAACCGACTCTCGCAACCAGTGTGAGGCGTCGGTCTTTGGCTTAACCCAACCTGCACGTTTCGGCCCGTACCTCATGCCCAGGGGTGGTCGTCGGGGTGTTGCGGGTGGGGAGGGACGCAGTGTGGACATGATGGGGTGGGGGGATACGCAGCGTGGACAGCAAGGGGTGGGATGGAGACCCCGGAGGAAAAAAGGGGGCGGGGGGTCGCAGTGTCGGCATGAAGGGGTACCGGGGGCGGGGGCGGGGGGGCAGTAGGAAGGGGAAGAAAAGAGATTCGGGAGATTCGGTGGGGATAGACGCAGTGTAGACGCGGGGAGGGGTACAAGATCCAGAGAGAGGGAGAGGGGCAGCGCAGTGGATTGAGGGGGGGGGGATGAATGTGACGTCAGGCGGCAATTGGCCGGCTAACAAGTGGCGCGGTCAGAGGCGGGGCGGGGCTGTCCGTCGGGCGTGCCAACTGTGCTGCGCGCGATGGTGTATTGTTTGTTCGTCCGCCGCCGCTGTTTGACTGTGTTGTCGAAAAGCGTCGCGGGAATACATGACGCAGGGCGTGGCTGACTGGGTTTGCTGACCGCCCCCGCCGCAGTCGCACAGTCGTCAGTGTGGCCAACCCACAGTGGGCCAGAAGACCGGTAGAGGCGGCCAAATATTCTAGACGCGTTTTGAGCTCCAGCGTCGCTAAACAGGACACGACCTAACTTGCGACCCCATCAATAGATTGCCCGTTCAGAGGGCAATCCATTGGTGGGGTCACACGTTCGTTTCGAGTCCCATTTAGCGATCCTGGAGCTCAAAACGCGTCTAGAATTTTGGCCGCTTCCACTGGTCTTCTGGCCCACTGCGCCCCGGCCGCCGCGCTGCCAACTGCTTGCAACAAATTGGAGCATTGACAGACTCGGCAGCCCTCTTGCTGTAAATTGGACGCTTCGAAATGGCGCGGGTTCAAATCCCGGCCCCGCCAGATTATTTTTTCTCTGACGGCAAGCGCCGCTCCAGACTGTTGGCCACACACTTGATTGAATCGGCCTTGGCCGCCCTTTGGGCCCGCAGGCCCGCAGGCCTCTAGGGCTCGCGGCGCGACGTTTTGCTTCGTAGACCTGAGAGATTGCGAGTACCAGTCCACCAGTGGCCGACCGCCAAATCATTTTCTACCTCTGCAAGGCGACCTCTCGGTCGTGCCCATAAGCTCAGCTATAAGCGTCCCCAGACACGCCGAGAGCGTGGTCACGGCGAGGGGGACAGGACATGCCGAGCTCCCAACTAAAGAAATCTGTCCACGTTGAATTTTTAAAAAAATCAAGTGAATAACACAGATTTTGTAAAGATTTTATTGTCCGTTTCCTCGCTGCGCAATGTCTGTAATAAGGATGCAAGTCAGCCGGGCGGGAATGTGTCAAGTGATGAGCAACCAACGGAGTGGGAATTCCCTCTGATGCAAGCGACTCGGCGCCAGTGCGCCAGTGTAGGTCCCTGTTGACCGTGTTGACGCGCTTGACTGCATTTGACCTCTGGCCATATCATTGTTGTTGGGACAACATTTCGCCCGGCGGATATTCGAACAATCCGTCTCAAGGGCAAGGAGTGCAGTTCGAGCTATCGACACAGTCAAGCACGATTTCGCGGTTTCAAGTCTCAAGGACGCCGTCGGCCAAAAAGGCGCAAAACAGTGCTTTTCGCCACTGTAAGGACAGTCGCACTCAGAGTGCCTTGGCTTCACGGCCTATCAACTGGAAACCGGGTTTAGTTCGCACTAAAGACGAAACGGTTTCACTAAAGAACCCTCGAACCGAACGTGTGGCCCCACCAATGGATTCCTCGTTCAGAGAGCAATCCATTGGTGGTGGGGTGACACGTTCGGTTCGAGCCCCATTTAGTGACTCTGAAGCTCAAAACGTGTCTGGGATTTTGGCCACCTCCACACTGAAAAAACTGTTACAGTAGATTTTACTGAACGCGTTCAGTAGACCCTTTGCAGTATATTGTATGGAGCGCGCAATATCTGCTACTGTTCGAGTGGCAGTAGATTCCACTGAACAGTTCAGTGCGCGCCGTACAGTAAATGCTACTGCAGTCCGGTGGATGCTACTGCACCTTAGTCGTCGGGCCCCCCACCATACCCCACCTCACCCCCGCCGGAGCCCTCGGCTCCACCCGCGCGCTTCCCCCTCCCTCGCTCCTTTGGAGACGCACTGGCGCGCTTTTGTCCGGGCCGCACCGAAACAGATGTGCTTGTGTACCGTCTCCAGATGCAAGGCCCTCATCGCGCAGGCATGGCTAAGTGGTACAGTCATGGCTCTGTGATCGGGCGGCCCGGGTTCAACTCCGAGTCGTGGCCGTCGCAGTTCGTCGCAGCGAGCCAAGTCGAAAGCTAAGATTGACGAGTGTGGAAGGGGAAGGGGGAAGGGGGTGGGGTGAGGCTGGGCCGCGGCCCCCTCCCCCGACTGCTTTTGACCAGCAGTCCCATTTACTGTACGCGACCAGTAGCATTCACAACAATTTTGTAGTAGCGTCTACGGAATGGCCGTTCCGTAAAATCTACTTGAATTCCCAGCTAACGATATTCTACTGTACGGTTCAGTAAGAAAAAATGTTACGTCCGTTGGATACACTGAAATTTTCTTTCAGTGCACCGCTCTTCTGGCCCACTGTGCGCTGCGCGCGTCTTGCGTGCAGACATGTTCGATGAGACATGGCTCCCCGTTCTGGGCCCGGCCCCGCCGCACCCCGCGGCATGGCGGGATGGCAAAGTTTCTTTTTTTAGGACCGCTTGGCCCGAGGCCCGGGAGCGAAAGTGAGGTTAGGTGCGCGCGGGAAGACTTTGGCGCCAAAGCGCGCGCACGGCGGCAAAGTTTGAAGTGGCGTCTTCGAGGTATCGACCGGCAGTCGGCGCCGCGCTGCGCCGGCCGGGGACAAGCGGGGGCGTGTTATTTGGTCGAGGTCGTCAAGGCCGACGCTTTGCTCGCGGAATTTGACCCACTTTGCAGCCTTCGGGAAACTAAAGCGTGACCGATCAGGGCGAGCAGGTAGCGTGGCAAGGGAGCGTGGCACTGGAAGCCTGCATCGCCAACGCGAGTTTTCCCGCTGTCTTTTTCTTTTCCCCCGAAAGAAGCAAAGCAACAACAAAAACGCCGGCAAGCTGTCCCGCCACACGCTCGCCGGTCGATGCCGGTCACTTGGCCGCCCGGCCTCAGTTTCCCACGTGCGCCGATCAGGCACGCGCCCCGCCGTTGGCGCCTCGAAACTTCCAGAACGAGGCGATGACCGCGGACAGTCGCGCAGTGAAGGCGCCGATTGAGTGCTGCTTGTCGAGAGGGCCCTAGCTTTGGGCCCTGGAGCCGGGAGACATCGGTGTCGATATTTCAAGATGTTTTCTCGAATAAAAGGTTCACTGATGGAATAAAGAGCAGATGAATGAATGAACATATGGGAGAACGGTAACACGAATGAATGAATGAATGAATGATGAATGAATGAATGGTGAATGAATGAATGAACGAATGAATGAATGAATGCATGCATGCATGAATGATTGGTAAACAAATGGGTGAACGGCCACACGAATGAATGAATGAATGGCCGAATGAATGAATGCCTAAACGTGGGACGGAATGACTAAACAAATGAATGAATGAATGAATGAATATATGTAGAGCGAGCAGTGAAACGAACATGCTCTGGGGCAATGATTTCAAGTGTAGGTGTGCAGGGCGTGCCCTTGCGCCGCCCATCCATCAGCCCACCTAATGGCCCGCTGAGCTGGCTGAGCTATCCGCCGCCATTGGCCGGGCGCTGCCGGGCCGGGCGGCTCCACGCGGTACAGGCCGAGTACAGGCAGGGCAGGAAGTTCGGCACGCCGCTTATCGGGCCCCACGTGGGCCGGGCCCCCACGTGTGGCACGGCCCGTATCGGGCGGCCCAGCGAGAGTGGTGGGCCGACCCAGACCCAGACAAGCGCGGAAGGGCGAAGCGCGGAGGGGCGAAGCGGCGAAGTGGGCCGAAGGCTGCACTGCACGCCACGCCAGGTGCATCGGACGGCCAGACGGACGGACACGGTCCATAGTGGATTCGCCGGCACTGCCGCACGCCGTTGGCTGTGTGAGTGTGTATTGGAGCTCCCCCTGCATGCTGGTTCCGGACATGCAGTTATCTCTGTCGCACTCGTGGGGCGTCCCGTACGGTCCCGCAGGGGCGCGAGGGAGACAGTGGGTCAGCCCCTGCTTCTCTTCCGAGACGCGCCGCGGCTCTCGCACACTGGTTCCGAGAGTCGTTTTCGTCGCTCTGTCTCTCTCGCACCTTTACGCGACGCCCCGCGAGTGCGAGAGAGACAGACCGATGAAAACGGCTCTCGGAATCAGTCTATGCTGGATTCCACGCGGCCTTCCCCCTCCACCGCGGTTATCTTATCAGTGAGTGCCCGTGTTGCCAGGCCGCGGGGCGGGGCGGGGCGGGTTGCAGCTGTCACCGAGCCCCTTGCCGGCCGCTTTGCCGTGCTTTGCCGCCGCCATTTGGCGAGTCCCGCCCGTCCCGAGTCGTCCGCCGCGCTCCTCTCCGCGCCAGACCGATTCGCTCTGTCTCTCTTTCTCACATACCACGGGACGCCCCATGAGCGCGAGAGAGACAGGACGACTAGTGCGACTCTCGGAATCAGTCTGCAGGCCGGTACTTAGTGGGCCAGAAGACCGGTGAAGGAGGCCAAAACTCTAGACGTGTTTTAAACTTCAGAGTCGCTAAATGGGACTCAATCCGAACGTGTGACCCCACCAATGGGTTGCTCTCCGAACGAGGAACCCATTGGTGGGGTCACGGTTTGGTTCGAGTCCTGTCTATGGCGACTCTGCAGTTGAAAACGCGTCCGGAGTTTCGGCCGCCTCCACCGGTCTTCTGGCCCACTGTGCGGGGTGTGGAGCGTGGAGTACACAGGACGCCCCGACGCCCCGTGCAATCGGCCGCCGGAAGTGAACCGTTGCCGCCGTCATTTGAATCAATCCACTTTCAGCCGACAAAAGAGCGCGCGGACCCAGCCTACCCGGCCCTGCGCCCCGTCTCTCTCGTACGCCGTCGGGCCGCTCTATGAGCGCGAGGGAGACAGCGACGAGGCGACCTTTCGGATCGACCCGCTGCTCCAATGGGACTCCCACGCCGCCGCACCGCCGCCGCGCCCCGGACACGTGGAGCCAGCGGTCGCGCCGTCCCTCTCGCACCCCCATGTGACGAACCATGAGTGCGAGAGGGATAGTACGATACGATCCTTTCGGAATCAACCGGTCTGGCTGGCGAATAGGGACTGTCGACCCTGGACGAGGACCTAGTCGCCCAGTCGCCGGGCAGGGGTGGCAGGCGCGGGCGGCTCCCCTGCTATGTCTCTCTCGCACCCCTCCGGCAGGCCCCGTGAGTGCGAGACAGACAGCCTGCTGGCGGCGAGGCGGCGCACAGTGGGCCAGAAGACCGGTGGAGGCGGCCAAAATCTCAGACGCGTTTTGAGCTCCAGAGTCTCTAAATGGGACTCGAACTGAACGTGTGACCCCACCAATGGATCGCTCTCCTAACGAGGAATCCATTGGTGGGGTCACACGTTCGGTTCGCGTCCTGTCTAGCAACTCTGGAGCTCAAAACGCGTCTCGAGTTTTGGCCGCCGGCGCCGGTCTTGTGGCAGAGCCACTGTTCGGTGATGGGGCGAGGCGCGGTGCGAGGCGCGGTGCGATTGGCTGCGATTGGCGCGCTGACTGCCAGTGGCGCGGAAACCCCCTGGCATCCGAGCGTCGGCAACCCGCTCGGCACGAGTGCCGGCGACGCCCGCTGCTTGCCTACCTCGCCATTACCAGGCGCCCTGTTCTTGCTCCTTAGTCCTCGCAGAGCGCGGAGCCCACGCCACTGCCCCTCGGCCGGGGTGTAGCGCCGAGCCGAGCCGAGCCGAGCCGAGCCGCGCCCGCGTCGCCATTCTGGTTGCGAATACTCCCGCACGCCGGCGACTCGGCTGGAGCGCGGAGTATCGACCGCAGGCCTCAGAAAATATCGTGCAGGTTGCCGCTGTCGGCGTTCGAGTTTGATTGGTTGTTAATCGACTGCTTGGTTGTTGTCTGTTGCAGGGCGCTGTATGTCGGATTGTGGAGTGATCCACATCCCCCCCTCGGCGAGCACGTTGGAGTTGTCGCTGGCCTGCCCCCAGGAGCTGTCCGGAGTCCGGCGCTGCTTCTGGATCCCGAAGCGCGAGAAGAAGCGGGAGGGGCACTACAGTTGAACGGGATGCGCGCGTAGTGCGGCGTGCAGGGAGTGCTGGAAGCGACGCGAAGCAGCGAAGAAGGACCTGTTTGACTCGGAGTTGCCGTAACGTTTGAAGAATGAAGGCTTTTCCCCTTTTGGTGAAGTGTCACCAAGATCTCAAGATTAGCTGATAGTTTCCTTGTCTGGAGCACTACTTAGGCCATAAGAAGGGCCGAGGCCTTGTGACTTTGACTGTGGGAGGGGGCCCATCAGCAGGGGAGAAGACTTACTTTAGCAAAAAAGGTCGCTAAACTGTTGCCAATCACCTCGTCCAAGGTGATGGTTATGTTACGTACTCGTCGTTACTACTGCCAGCAAAGCAACAGCGCCAGTAACTGTGATCCGCCAGACCTGTTAGCTCTTCGTGAGAGGAACCAGCACTGCCGCTGGCGGTGTAGACAACGTCTCCACAAGTTGCATCCATTGCTGGCTCTCAGTGCCAAGGAAGTGACTGTTCTCGAGAGATTTCAGAGCGGAGTGGTGCTTTAGCCCCCCCTGCTCCTCTCAGCAGGAAAATAGCGCCCCAGGGCACAGTGATATTTTGTACGGGTAATGGGCTGAGTCCACAACAACAAGCAAGAGGTATTAATTTCAGTGTGTGTGTACGAACAAAAACGAGGACGGGGAAAGGAAGAAACTCCCGGAAGGGAGGAGGATTTTTCGTCTGTAAAAGCAGCCTTGAAATGGTCTGGATGGAAAAGCGTGCAAGGGCAGTGTTGGTGCAGCAGTTCTTCCGCCCCTCACCAGAACAGCGGTCTAAAGCATAAGCCGTGAGGCCATGCTCTAGAGCATTGCCCTTGCGCTTGCTGGGAGGTTGGAGGAATGGAAGTGCATTTAACCCTGAACGGCGCGGAGGAGCTCATGGACTTACCGCTGGAGGCTGGCCTGGAGCCTCCCTCATGGTCTCCGAGTGAATCACACTCACCAAACTCTGACATTCTTGAGGAGTTGCATCCTTGGGCAGGAGAAGTTAAGGTATGTAATATTTGTGCCAGAAATGTCTTTCGTAAAACTGACCTATAATAAAGCTTGCTTATGAGTGTTTGTCTCTGAAAATGTTTGCAGTTCTCTTTTGGCGACATTAAGGCTAAGAACATATTCGAGGGCGTGCCATTGGGACTGCCACTCCCAGTTTCAGCTAACTTAGATTATACGATGGTTGGCACTCGTAAGCGTAAGGGTTGGGATGACGACAACAGTGATTCTAGTGAGCCACCTAGCTCCAAAATCAGTCGTGACCAGCTGCTGCTTTCCGACTGCCTTGATAATATAAACACTGACACCTCTGATCTGACTTCCGTTGACAATGCTCTCATGCGTGACCACAAGAGAGATACAGGTGAGTGAAAGAGATAGCTGTCCCTTTTTCAATATAATTTAATTAGTTCTATGGGAGATAAGTGCAAGAATGTAATGGAGTCAGTTGGCTATTATGTACTTCACATTCTTTGATTAAACTGCAAGGCCTTATCTAAAGCTGCAGCTAATTGGTGAAAGATCTTGCAGCAACACTATATATTATTTTTACCTGCAAATTACATTATAAAATTCACAGTTGTCTTCAAAAGAATGAACTTTTCATGATTAAAGAGGAGAGAAGAGAAGAGAGGCATCATGAGGGTCACAATTTAACATCAGCTGGCGTGGTATAGATAAGCTTATCAGTTGTGTGGAGAATCTCGGGCAACTTGGCACTTTGCCTCTAGTAGCTTAGCTTCTTTCAAGGCATCCACACACTGCGGTGCTGCTTTGGTGCCCTCTAGCTTTGTGTTAAATAGATTAATAGTGCCTTTCAAATATGGCGGAAATCAGTGGTGTTTTCTTGGTGGTCAATATGTTAGATTTTTTTATTTTGCCATTCTGTGATAGCATCTGATATGATATTGTGTTTCTGTGCAAGCAATTAACTTTAGACTTGAGAACTTGAAGGCATTTTTCGCCTGTTATGACTGATTGAGCCTGTGTTGAGGGCATTGGTCAAAATACGGAGTTCAGTGAGCAGCTTGTTTAGTGAAAGCAAACATCAACTTTTGTACTTTTGCCTCTGTGCAACGGGAGTAGTGTTAGCCAAAATTTATTTCAAACAAATGGTGCAAATAGTGCAAAACAAGAAAATTGGACAGCAAGCTTTGAAGAATGTTCAATCAGCACTTTGTTGGCGACCTGTGTGGAGGCCCACAGTGCGGTGGCGGGTTTTGTTGTGAACCTGTGATTTTCTTGCTTATTTATTAGCCTGAAAGGCTTAAAAACTGAAAATCTGCAAAAATGTGGGGTGAGATTCTTAACAAGGATACCATATAGAGCTGTTCTCTTGTCCGCTTAATGAACATTGTTTTTCTTAAATGATTCTCCCTTTTTATGAAGATTGAAACTTGTTTATTATTTGTGTTTTTTTTTTGTTTTTTTTTCGTCTATACCTTTCTTCTCATTGAGGTGATCTCATCTTTTCTTTTGGTTAGGTTCAACCCTGAGTCGTTCTTCGTGGCCCATGAGAGACCTGGGTGATAATTTGACGGCAGATCTAGATGGCTTAGGTGTTGACACATATAACATAAGGTAAGTGATTTGAACTTTGTGTTTATGTCAAGACATCTTTTGACCTGCCAATTTAACAACTTTCCACTGGTTTGGTTTTCAGTGAGGCTTTCCTAAGCCTTCCCAGTCTTACTGTTTTTAAACAGGAGGCACCCTCCCCCTCTCCCAATGAAAATGGGTAAGTCTCACAAGAGTAATCCAAATTCACTTGGTTGGCTCGCATACTTTGCTTTGGTCTCTTATGTACCTTGTTTTTGTTGTTGTTGTTGCAGAGTGGCTCACAGTATGTCCCCCCTGTCGCTCAGCGCCAACCTGGTGGATCCAGAGCCTACTGTCAGCACCAAACCTATCCCCTCTCCCCTGCACCACTTGTTGCAGGCTTCACCCGCATTGTCTGGGTCGCAACTATCTCCCAATCAGGAATGCACCCGTAAGAAATTTTAATTTAACCATCTTTTTCTCATCTCGCTACATCATTTGCTGTTAGATTTTAATTTTGTCCCGTTTTATTTGTTGTAGCTGGCGGCACTGGAGTGCCCTCAAGCAATGCTGTTGTGGCGGAGGCTTTCTTCCAAAGCAATCAGGGTGAACATTCCCTTCCAATTGGAGATTGCAGGTAATTACAGCATGTGTGTGAGCCAGAAAAAAAAAAAGAAGAAATAAATTGAGCCAAACACCTCTCCACTAGACTCCCTGTATTTTTTTCCCCTGTTCATACAATATTTAATATTGTCTAGTGTCAAACAATCAATTTTAAGATTCGCCCAAAATGCTCAATGAATCTTAACACCCTCTTGCGAATGACGAGAATTATATTATGTATGTAACATTCACAGACCCAAATCAGTAAAACCTGACATTCCTTGATAAATGTTCACTGTCCATCAATCTGTAAACATTTATTGGAACATTGACTTTTTATATTATTATCAAAATAACAAAATAAATGTTAAAAAAATTTGGTTTTGCTGACAATTTTTTTCTGTATTTCTCAGATTTCAGTATGTGCTGGCTGCAGCCACATCTATTGCCACAAAGGTAACGGAAGAGACTCTTACTTACCTGAACCAAGGCCAGTCTTATGAAATCAAGCTCAAGAAGCTCGGAGACCTCTCTAACTATCGCGGTAGAGTCCTCAAGGTAATTGTCCAGCCTACTAAAAGTATTATACCCAACCTGTAGATAAGAACAAATTTTGTAAAAATTTTCTTTTCTGTTCAGAGTGTAATCCGGATCTGCTTCCATGATCGGCGTTTGCAATACATGGAGCGTGAGCAGATTACAGCGTGGCAGGCTTCCCGCCCTGGAGAGCGCATAGTGGAAGTTGATGTACCCCTCTCTTATGGAGCATTTGATATTTCCCAAGATTCATCTCAACTCAACACAGTGGAATTCCTGTGGGATGCCACAAAGGAAGTTGGAGTGTACATCAAGGTACATTAACTCTCAGTTAAATAATTAGAAATATCAATCTATGGCTGGCTGGACTACAGTTTGCTAATGGAAAGCATAACAGATCCTCATGTACCAGAGGCTGAAATCTTTTGACTTCAGGAACCACAACTGACATGTGCTGTTTGTCTGGTTTGCAGGTGAATTGCATCAGTACAGAATTCACTCCAAAGAAACATGGTGGTGAGAAAGGCGTTCCATTTCGCATTCAAATTGAGACATTCCTTCATGGTGACACTGCTCCAAAGCGTCTCCACGCGGCAGCCTGCCAGATTAAAGTGTTCAAGGTGAGACAAAAACAAGTTGTGGAGGAAAGGGGAATGCAGGGGACTTAGTGTTGGTTTTATTGAGAAAGATTTATTTCATTTTCAATACTCTTTTCTTCTTTTGTTTTCTGTGCATTTTAATTTTTGTTATCTTACCTCTAAGAAATATTTATTTATTGTTTGTCTTTTTGCAGCTCAAGGGAGCAGATCGCAAACACAAGCAAGACCGTGAAAAGATCATGAAGCGCCCCATGCAAGAACAGGACAAATTTCAACCATCTTATGACTGCACAGTACTCACTGATGTAAGTATTCTCAGAATTTCAATGATCTAAGAAGCTAAAATTCCTTAAATACTTAACATAATAAGGCACTAATCAATGTCTGCAGTAATTTTCACTGAGCTAATTTGCTCAAATAATAGCAGTGCTAATTTGTTGACTGTCTAAAATAGGTAATTTGATTACTGTAGTAGAATATATGGACTGTTACCTTTTTGATGTCTTCTCTTGGGGGTCGCCCTTTACCTTAAACTTCCGGTTTGAATTTTTCCATGAATTTTTCCTTAGGGCAACCTGTAAATGAAAGATTACTTCAGTTAACATGTTTTTTTGTTTTGTTTTTTTAAGATTTCCAACGAAGCAGTGGCCCCTCCCATGAGCACAGCTGTTTCCCCTATTGTCACCACCCCGGGACAAGGCATATCGGAACTAGGGTAAGTAGCTAAGTGCACCGTTCTATTTTTTAAGTTCTACTGAAGAGGAAAGACACTGCCACTAGCTGCCAAAAAATTTCACAAAAGTACTTCACCTACACATCTACATGTCATTAAATTATACTGTCAGGATCCACTTGGAAACAATTGCATACAATTGTGTCATCACTGTCTCCTCAAGGCCAGTCCATAAGTGTCCAAACTCACATTATGAATTCATCCACATCAGGAAAGCAAAGAAGAGATCAAATTTAGCAATAGTTAGAGTGAGTCCCTGAGCTCATGACGCGTCCTATCCATTGTCTCCCCGCCCCCTCTCTTCTTATTATCTATTAGTCGGATTAAAAGATGGCGGTCTGCACACAACACCCATAATTTTTGGGCCACTTTTAAAACTGTCCTCCCCCTGGTTCTCTCCCTAACCCACCCCTCTCACGCACCCCTCGACGCTAGCGAGAATGTGGGTACGGCCCGGCCCAAGCTAAATCCTGGCCCGGGACTCCCAGCCCGGGACGCTAGTCCCCACTCTGGCTAGGACTGCCCGCTGCCCCGAGCCGCCAAGCCTTAGCCAGGCCTGCCCAATCCAGATTGAGTCGGTTGAGCTGCACTAGCGTGTGCTGCGTGAGGTGCGAGAGAGAGAGAGAGAGAGAGGGGGGGGGGGGGGTCCTGCAGCGCGAGGCCCCGCCGCCCGGAATACTCCGCGAGCTCGTCACGAATCGCGAACTGGAGACTGCCCCGGGGCTTGGCCCATGCTGGCCCTCTGGCCCTCTGCAAGGCCGCCCGTCGTCGCCACACTCGGTGGACTGGTTTGACCCGGAAGCTGAGCCGGCTCGGCTCGGGCCAGTGGCCCCGCGGCAGACGCTACATGTCACTCACTGACTCACCAGGCTGGCTTCGGGGAGTCCGCTCCTCGGGCCGAAGGGTCCCGTCCCGACCTGAAGGCGCCGACCTGAAGGCGCCCCTCGCCCCGCGTCCAGACGGAGAACTCAAACGCAGGTCGCATCGAGGGGAGACGCTGGAGGCTGAGGCTGTGCGTGGCCGTCACGGTGGTCACGCCGGTCCCCGTGGGGCGGCTGCGGCTGCGGCGCGGGGCGTGAGTGGCGCACGCGGCATCGATGATGCGACGCTGGCGAAGCGCGAAGCGAACCTACCGCAAGCGGCGAGGCAGGCCCGCCAGCCCACCCGACGCGAAGCGCGAGCCAGACTCGTGGCCGGCCGGGCTGCCGGGCCGGGGGGGGACGGCGGGTACGCGGAGGACGGAGGACCCCCTCCGCCACTGAGTTCGCTTCGCGTAGTCCGGTGCGGTGCGCCTCGCTACGCCTCGCGGTGTGGGAGGGGAAGGGAGGGAAGGGTGTGGCGAGCGCGTCCCCCGTCCCGTCGGAGGGAGTGGGAGTGGATGTGGCGATCCACCTGCCCTTGGCATTGGTCATTGGTCATCTGCAACCCCACCCACCGCATCACACCTTGTGACCCTCGCGGGGGGCCTTTGTTTTGCTGCTCTTCCTGCCCGGCCGCGGCACAGTGGACCAAACGACTGGTGGGGGCGGCCAAAATCCCTGACGCGTTTAAATGAAACTCGAACCGAACGTGTGGCCCCACGAACGGACTGATCTCCGAACGAGGAATGCATTGGCGGGGTCACACGTTCGGTTCCAGTCTCAGTTTGCGACTCTGTAGCTCAAAATACGTCTAGAATTTTGGCCGCCTCCACCGGTTTTCTGGCCCAATGTGACTGCGTTTGTGACTGCGTGACCGCAGTGGCGCAAAGCGTGCTGAAGGAACTTTCCGCAACGCCACTGGCAAGGACCAAGGACCCGGAAAAGAAAAGGTCATCTCACTTCACCGAGGCGGCCCGGAAAAACAGAATACGACTTGGAGGTATACAGTCGGCCGAAATTTGACACCTCCTTGTAGGTGGCGCTGCTGTGACGGCGCCGTGCCTGCCACAAGGTTATGACGGGCGTAAAGCAGGACAGTGCCGTGACCGCCCCGTGACCGCCCCATGACGGGCACGTCACGTCACGTGTCCGACAAAGATCCCGCGGCTCGGCCAACCCGTCAAGAAGAGTCGTTCGTCGCTCTGTCTCCCTCGCACTCCTGGGGCTCTCCGTAAGGGTGCGAGAGAGACAGAGCGTCTGAATCGCTCGCGCCTTTATGGAGAGCCCCGTGAGTGCGACGGGGACAGAATGGCTCGGCTGGAGCGTCCCATCCCATATTTGCACCGCTGGCTACGTCGGCTCGCTGGACTGGCGCGCCGTGTGGTCGGCGGGGAGGCTACGCCAGGCTACGTTCTGCGAGCCTTGCCTGCCTTGCCTTTGCCTGCCTTGCCCCGGGCCGGCCGGCCGGGCTGGTTCCCTCTGGTTCCCGCTGGTTCCGTCTGGTACTTGTTGGTGCTGGCGGCAACGCGTTGCCCGCAACGCAAGGCGGCAAGGAAGCGCGCTCACTCACTCGCGCCCACACACGCACACACACACAGTCCCACACACGGTGCGTGTCAGCGCGGCGCCTTTGTCTGAGAATACCTGCCGCCCCGCCACGCCACGCCCCGCCCCGCCCTACCCCGCCCCAATCTGCATAGACAGTGGTGTAATTTGGCGATGACTTCCAACTCACCTCTGAGGCCAGGCGGGCCAGGAGGCAAATCCCCGAGACCGGACCGTTGCGGTTCTGCGGACTGCTTCCGAGAGTTCTCGTCGCTCTGTCTCTCTCCCACTCAAGGGGCGCCCCGTGTCGGCGCGAGAGCGGCAGCGACGAGAACGACTCTCGAAATCAGTCTGCCAACGGCGCAGTGGTCGTCGTGGACCCCGTGCTGGGTGGCCCGCGCGAGGCGCCAGTCCCCGTAGGCCAGGGAAAAGGGGCAGTACACTGGGAGTTGGGTTAGGTTCAAGCACCCCCTGGGCCGCCCTCCGCGTCGGCGTCGCCCTCCCGGAGGCATGTCCGTTCGCAGGCCGGGGCCAACCGGTGTAGCCAGCAGTTGCCTCGGCTCTACCACCGCCTGGGACACCAACGAGCAAGCGGCCTGCATTGCAGTCGACGAACAGAGTCTTGACCGCGGCGGCGAGGTGCGCTGTTGCGGCACCGCGGCCTGCAGACTGACTCCGAGAGTCGTTGTCGTCGCTCTGCCTCTCTCGCACTCTTGGGGCGCACCGTGACGGTGCGAGAGGGACAGAGCGACGAAAACGACTCTCGGAATCAGCCTTCTGCCGGACCGCCCGCCGCAAGGCCCGCCGCCCCACGAGTGCGAGCGAGAGGGAGAGCGAGGGAAGCGCCGCGCCGTTCGGAATGAATGGGCCGAGACCTCGCGTACAGTTAGACCCCTGGCCGTGACTTTGAACTTGGCCCGGCCCGGCCCGGCCCAGCAGGCCGGTGGCAGGCCCGTCCCGTCCCTTCCCGCCCTACGCGGTGCGGCGGTGCGGCCCGCGACCCTGGCCTTGCAAGATGCAGGCCGCGCGGCCTCGCGGAGCCTCGCGGAGCCTCGCGGTGCAGCAGACTGATTCCGAGAGTCGTTTTCGTCGCCCTGTTCCTCCTGCACTCATGGGGCGCCCCGTGTCTGTGCGAGAGAGACAGAGCGACGAAAACGATTCGCGGAATCAGTCTGCAGGGACGACTTTCTTCTTGATATGACGCGCGACCAACAACATCAACAACAGCGCGTCGATCGGCAGACCCAGGGCCCAGGCCCTTCGATAACGAAAGTGTGTGCACAGGTGCACGCGGGGCCCCAAGGGGTGGTGGTGGGGGTGAGGGCAAGCCCAGCACGGTGGGCCAGAGGACTGGTGGAGGTGGCCAAAATCCCCGACGCGTCTTGAGCTCCAGAGTCGCTAAACGGGACTCAACCGGACGTGTGACCCCACCAAAGGATTGCTCTCGGAACGAGGAATCCATTGGTGGGGTCACACGTTCGGTTCCAGTCCTGTTTGGCGACTCGGGAGCTCAAAACGCGTCGGGGATATTGACCACCTCCACCGGTCCTCTGGCCCACTGTGCGCCGGCAAAGCGAACTGAAGCGAGGCGCGGGGCAAAGCCGGCAAGGCAGGCAGGCAAAGAGCGACGCGGCTCGATCCGGAACGGGCCGGTTGCACGGCATCGCGCCGCACGCCGCACCGCGCCGCACCGCCACCACCAGGGGCACCGCCACGCCAGGGCACCGAGCGGACGCACCGCGCACCGCGCTGGGCTGACGTGCAGCCCGACAGGCCAGGCCGGCACGCCAGGGCAGGACGTCGAGGCCCTCGCGGTGCACGCCATGGACGTACGCAGTCTCGTGACGGCCGGCGTGTCATGCGCTTGATGGCGCGCTCCGCTGCAGACTGATTCCGAGAGTCGTTTTCGTCGCTCTGTTTCTCTCGCCACCTATACGGCACGCCCTATGAGTGCGAGGGAGACAGAGCGACGAAAACGACTCTCGGAATCAGTGTGCTGCCGTGGTGGGCGCCTCGGCTCGCGGAAGCCCTCCCGGCCCGGCCCCGCCCCGCCCCGTCCCGCCCCGCCCGCGCCGCGCCAAAGCTGCGGCTCCTGGCCGATAACGCCGTGCCCGCCGCAGCTTGCCGCCCTGCCGCCTTGCCGCCTTGTGGCGACGAGGGCCGACAATAAGCTAGATGTATCCGGATCGGCCGCCGCGCTCCGTTCCGTTCCATTCGCCGCCCCGCCGGGTCTCGCCGTCGAAGGGGCCCGGCCCGGCCCGGCCCGGCCTCTCTCTGGTCGCGCCCCGCCGCGTCTTGGCCTCCCCCCTGGCCTCAAACCTTCGACCAATCAACTCGTTGTGTTTATTTTTATCCAGGCGTGATGGTGTGTCGTGCGTGGCCGCCAGTGGCCGCGCAACGCACGCACACACACACGCACACACACACGCAGCGTGTCGTTGGATGCAGTGTCCCACCGCCCCCACCTCGCAACACGCCAAATTGGAAACTGCAGACCGATTTCGGGAGTCGTTTTCGTCGCTGTCTCTCTCGCACTCATGGGGCGTCGCGTCCCGTCTGTGCGTTAGAGAGAGAGAG